GGGGGGGGGGGGGGGGGGGGGGGGGGGGGGGGGGGGGGGGGGGGGGGGGGGGGGGGGGGGGGGGGGGGGGGGGGAGGGGGGGGGGGGGGGGGGGGGGGGGGGGGGGGGGGGGGGGGGGGGGGGGGGGGGGGGGGGGTGGGGGGGGGGGGGGGGGGGGGGGGGGGGGGGGGGGGGGGGGGGGGGGGGGGGGGGGCGGGGGGGGGGGGGGGGGGGGGGGGGGGGGGGGGGGGGGGGGGGGGGGGGGGGGGGGGGAGGAGGGGAGGGGGGGGGAGGAGGAGGGGGGGGGGGGGGGGGGGGGGGGGGGGGGGGGGGGGGGGGGGGGGGGGGGAGGGGGGGGGGGGGGGGGGGGGGGGGGGGGGGGGGGGGGGGGGGGAGGGGGGGGGGGGGGGGGGGGGGGGGGGGGGGGGGGGGGACACTGTGCTATCAGACCGGTCCCCAGCAGCACGCATACCAGTAAATAAACATGTAAACAAACAGGCTAACGGCTGTGTAAACTGCAGTGCCACGCGTGCTCTGATGTGTGCCTGATCACTCCTTCCACCTCCACTAAAAAAATAAAAAGGAAAAAAAATCACCAAATGTGTGACCAAAATAGGGTGAGGCAGTGTATTTTCGCTGAGTTTTTACTATGATTCCAGGACACAGGAATTGTGGAGCGATCAAGATGGAAACTCCACTGCCCTAGAAGAGCTCAGAGTCAGCATGGTGGCTTCAGCTTGGGGACCTCTCTCCATCAGCCTCCTCCCTGTTACCTGGAGGACAGCTGCCTTCACTTTACTGGCACACACCTCTCTCTGTCTAGCTCTCGGGAACAAACAGGAATTCAGTTGAAGGAATACACTGGGTGCTGGTGACTCACACCCATAAGCTAGCTACTTGGGAGGCTGAGATCAGGAGGATAGCTGTTTGAGGCCAGCCCAGGCAAAAAGTTCATGAGACCCCCCACCTCAACCCATAGCTAGAGAGGGGCACAGCTATCATCCTAGCTATACAGGAGACTGAGATTGGAGGGTCACTGTTCCAGGCCTGTCTGGGCAAAAAATTTCGTGAGACCCCCATCTTATCAGAAGGAAAGCTGGCGGGATGACTTGTGTCTGTCATCCCAGCAGTGGTGGAGAAGTGTGATTCAAGCTGGGCTGGCCTGGGCAAACAGCCAGACTCTATCTCCGAATTAACCAGAGGAAAAAGGCCCAAGGTGGAGCTCAGGCAGTAGAGCACCTGCCTAGCAAGAGCAAAGCTCTGAGTTCAAACCCCAGTACTGCCAAAAAACAAACAAAGAGAGCCATTGCCAAAGACAGTAGAAACAGAGCAGAGGCTGGTTAGAGGACTGTAGACCTGTGTGCCTCCCTGCCTCCTGATATGCTGTCATTATAACCACATGACTTTTGGGCCTTTCTCTCAGCTTAGTGCTATGCTCAGTGCTTTACACCAGGGGTCAGCCACCATTTTCTGTAACAGGCCAGGGAGTAAGTGGTTTAGACTGTGCTGCTGGCCGTGTGGTTTCTGCCGCCATGACTTAGCTTGGGCACTGTGGCAATAACATGGCTGGATAATATCCGTAAGCAAATGGAAGTAGCTGTGAGCCAATGAAACCTATTTACCAAAACAGACGCTGGGCCAGATTAAGCCCGTGTACTACAGTTTGCTCATCCCCTGTTCCACATCCATCTCAATATTTTACTCTCTCAGCTATGCTGTGTGTTGGTGTCATCATTTCCTCCAACAGGTGAAGACACTTGGGCTCAGAGAGGGTTAGTCACTTGCCTGATGTCACACAGCTAGTTAGTGGCAGAGTTTGGGTTCTAGCTGAGCACATCTGCCTCCACACCCTGGCTCTCCCTTTCTGCTCCTCCTTGTGGCCCTCAGGTGAGACGTGAGCACCCGCCCTGTCTAAAGGAGAGTCCACCCCTTTAGTGAGCCATTTCTCCTCCTCCAGGTTTGACCTGATGGCCAATGGGGGTGCTGCCTTGACTCTGCATTTCGAGCGAGCCCCGTTCATGAGCCAGGAGCGCACAGTGGCTACCATGGAATAGCTTCTACGCCATGGACACCCTGGTGATGAAGACAGAGGAGAACTCCATCCCCAGCTGTGACCTCAGTGGCTTCGTCCGGCCTGATCCCATCATCATTTCCTCACCTCTGTCCACCTTCTTCAGTGCTGCCCCTGGGCAGAACCCCATTGTGCCTGAGACCCAGGTAGGAATGGCAGGTACCAGGGAGGAGTCTCGGGACGTCCTGAACCAAGCCTAACGGGTCAACTCCCTCCTATCACATGTGTCTCCCCAAGTGTGCCAGAAACTAACATGAAAGGGAAGGGACAGCTGGGTGTGATGGCTCACTCCTGTAATCCTAGCTACCTGGGAGGCTGAGATCGGGAGGATTATAGTTTGAGGCCAGCCTGGCAAGAAAGTTTGGGAGACCCTATCTCCACTAATAGCTAGATGCGGTAGCATCCACCTGTCATCCCAAGCTACATGGGAGGCTGAGATGGGGAGGATCACAGTTCCAGGCCAGCCTAGGCAAGACCCCATCTCGGTGGCAAAAAAAAAAAAAGCTGAGCATGGTGGTGTGAGCCTGTCATCCCAGCATAAGGAGGAGGATTGCGATCCAGGCTGGCCTGAGCGAAAACAGAGACCCTATCTCCAAAATAACCAGAGCAAAAAGGGCCGGAGGCATAGTTCAAACAGTAGAGTACCTGCCATGCAAGCATAAAACCCTGAGTTCAAAACCCCAGTACTGCCAGAAAAGGTGGGGGGGGGGGGGGGCGGGAGAGTAGGAGTGCAAAAGAATTTATAGTAACTGTGGACCAAAGTTTGGCTCCCTCCTGGACACTTGATGCTTGTAGACAGTCATTCGAGACTTTGGCAGCAGTGAGAGTTTTTAATAAAATAAAATAAAGCAATCTACTAATGCACAAGCACCTGCAAATTGCTTCTTACTCCTGTTAGTCACAGAGATACTGCTAAGAGGCGCCTTAACGATCTACATTAGCGTTACGACAGAGGGCGGATCTCTTTGTGGCCTCCCTGTCGCTTTATATGGATTGTCAGTGGAAGGCACAGGTTCACATAATTACAGCCTCTCATGGTCTCCTTGCACACAGCCAGCTGTAAAGCCTGCTGCTCTTATTTACATCTTTTGCCAACAGTGTGGTTTTATTTTAAAAAAACACAACAGTGACCAAGAATTATCATTAATCCAAAAATCATAACCTCAGCACCTTCACTCCATGGTGGCGGATGAAGTTGGGGTTGGTTTTCTTTTTTTTTCTGTCTCAACCGTGGGAAGTGGTTCATGCTCCCACAGATGGTGTGATGTTGGGCGAGGCAAGAAACAGGCGGCGTGGGGCTGCAAAGAGCTCGCCAGCCGGGACGTGCTGAATGCAATGACCCTTCCATGTGTCCCCTCCAGGTGCTCCATGAGGAAATTGAGCTCCCGGGTTCCACCGTCAAACTCCGTTACCTGAGCTCCAGAACTGCAGGGTACAAGTCACTCCTGAAGGTCACCATGACCCAGTCCACGGTGCCCTTGAACCTGATCAGGGTTCACCTGATGGTCGCTGTAGAGGGGCATCTCTTCCAGAAGTCGTTCCAGGCTTCTCCCAACCTGGCTTACACCTTTATCTGGGACAAGACAGATGCTTACGGCCAACGGGTGTACGGTCTCTCGGATGCTGTAGGTATGTGTTGGTTTCAGCCATTCACTCAGTCATGGATTTGGTCATGGGTTGGTTCAGTCACTATTTCCTGAGCCCCCAGCATATTCGAAGTACTATCGTAGCGGATAAAAACTCGGTGTCAACAAGACAGACAAGATTCTTCTTCCGTGAGCCTGATATCTAGCAGAAGGCTGAGATAAGAAACACAGATCAGACAAGGAAATATGAAGCCATGATAAATGCTAATAAGAAAATAAAACTCAGTGTTACCTTCTGAGGCGGAGGGGGAACTGTGGAGGACATTCAGAGGAGGCTTCTCAGTAGAGTGACATTTCAGTGCAGACTTGAATGACAAGGAGCCGCTTGGAAATCAGAAAAAGAACATTCTGGACAGAGAGAAGGTCGTGTGACTAGAAGGTAGGGGACAAGGGGGACATCCAAGGTGAAGGTAAGTCTGTGCAGGGGCTGGTTCATGTTGCAGACAGAGCACTTACAAATGGCACAGAATGTACCTCAAAAATAAGAAATTGTGGCTCAAGGGAGTCTGAAAAGATCCTGTTCAGAACTTTGCTTTGGGAGGGACTGACATGATGCCCCCCAGGAGAGCTCCTCCTCTGCTGTGGTTACTGTAGTCGTAGTATGGATTAATGGCTACCTGGGATCTTCCTACCATGGATGGCTGTTTGGGGGCTAACTAATTTCCCAGATATTGTATTCTCTCCACCAGTATGCTTGTGGTTTTCAACAACTGTCAGGAAAGACAAGTTACCAAAGTCAGAAACCAGCCAACACAGGAAATTTTTACTGTAATTGGCAGCCAGTGTTTAGCAGACAGTCCCTCCGTGAGAGCACTGGAATGTCTTTCCTCTCAGGGAATCTGTCAGTAGCCCAATAATTCTCATATTTCCCAGGATGCAACTGGACAGAAGGGGGGACAATGAGCAGGCAACTCACACTCAGGTCATGGTCCCAGGAAGCTAAGCCATTCGCCAGTGCAGGTAGTAATGCAGTTATTAGGATACTGATACTTTTATTATATCTGGCATTAGCCAATATCAAAATGATAGCCAATATCCAAAGGTAGACTGGATTTGATAACCTACCCTCATGTACACCAGCTCCTGCCATTGTCAGCTCCTAATGAATCTGGTTTTCCATCTCCTGACTCCCATATTTTCTGAAGCAAGTCCCAGACATCACATTATTTCATCAGGATATATCTCTTAAAAACACTTGGAAAACATAACAACACTACTATCTCATCGTTTATTAATATCATCAAATGATCCATCATGGTTCAATATTTTAATCGTCAGTCAGGCATGGTGGTACACGCCTGATATCTAGCACTTGGGAGGATCCCAAGTTCAAGGTCAGCCTGGGTTATATTCAAGAGTCTCTTGAATATCATAAAACATGAGTACTTGAGTTCATTGAATGGAGATCCAAATAAGATCTACTTTTGCAATTGGTTGGTTTCTCTTAAATTTTTTTTTAATTTAATAAATGTTTTAATGTTGCTTTGCATTTCTCTTTTTTTAACTTTATAATTTATTTATTGAAGAAATTGGGTTGTTTGCCTGTAGAATTTCCCAGGCTGGTAGTGTGTGTGTTTCCTGATTACACGCCTGTGACTGCTTGACCTGGTTCCCCATTCCTTGTGATGTCCTGTAAATTGATGGTGGGGTCCTGAGACTTTCTTGGGTTCAGTTTGATCTGGGGCAGGTGGTACTGTGTTCTCCCACCAGGAGGAGCCTGGCGGGCAGTGGATAGCTTTATGATTTTGATAGCCACAGACATTTACTGGCTGGATCTTTTAGGTCACTAGAGATTGCAAAATGATATTTTAATTCTGTCATTGTTTCTTCATCTATAACTGCAATACTTTCAATACTTTCTCATTAGCTATGTGGTTATTTGAGGTGCAATTCAAATAAGAGAGAAAGGACAAATGCTTGGTTCTTTCACTCTATTGCTAGTTTTCAGTATAATGAATTGGTTCATCTTCCAAGGGTGGCAAATTGATGTTTTTTTAAATATCATTATGAAGTCATTGACTAAAATGTTATCCAGGGTGTTTCAATCCATTGACGTTATCCTTACAAATGGTCAGGAGGTCCCATCTTTGGTCTCCGGGAATCTCTTCAATCTGACTCCCAAATCCCTGAACGTGACCCTGATGAACTGTGATTGCTTCCTCACTGTCTAGGGTGACTAAATGGCCTCATTCCATCTTGTCCGTTTCTTGCTCCAGCCATTGCAAGGAGCCCTGATCTTGTGGATGAGGGATAAAATGTCAGGGCCATGCTGGGCACTAGCTGTCATCTGATGGTTGGATTAGTTGTTGCTTGTCAGCAATTTTGTAGGAGTAGTTAGGAAATACATGGGTGTGCATGCGTGTGTACTAAGATAAAATGCCCCTCCCTCATATTGACACTTCTATATCTCAGGATTTTATAAAAAGCTGCCGACATCCCCAAGGGAAAATGGGACCACAAAGCCAAGACCCACATGAGACTAAGGTCCCATTCCCTCTTCCACTCCCAGTTGCCCATGTGGCAAATGTAAGGTTTTCACCAACAACTTTGGATTCTTATCCCCACTGACACTCCATGTAACTAGCAGGCTGCACCCTGATGGTGCCTGCTCCTACTGGTACTTTCTGGAGTCCTGACTGAGCAATCATCCCTCATCAAGGATTGGTTCCACAACCTTCCCCAAACTACCAAATCTGAGGGTCCCTCATATAAAATGGCATAGTATTTGCATGTAACCTACACACATCCTCCCAAATACTTTAAACCATCTCTGGGTTACTTCTAACACTTAACACAATGACCGGGTGCCAGGGCTCATGCCTATAGCCCTAGCTACTTGGGAGGCTGAGATTGGGAGGATTTGTGTTTGAGGTGAGCCCAGGTGAGATAGTTCACAAGACCCCAGAAAATAACCAGACCAAAATGGACTAGAGGTGTGGCTCAAGTGGTGGAGTGTCTGCTTTTGCAAGCAAGGCCTTGAATTCAAACCCCAGTCCACTGGGAAGGGAAAGGAAGGGAAGGGAAGGGGGAAGGGAAGAGGGAAGGGAAAGGGGAAGGGAAGGGGGGAGAAGGGAAAGGAAGGGACTTAATACAGTGTACATGTATATATATATATAGTTATTACACTGATATTTAGGGAATAATTATAAGAAAAAAATTTGTGTTTGGTACAGAGGCAATACATTTTCATATATTTTGGTACCTGCAGGTACCAAAAGCCAGCTTTCCAAAGTGTTCCTAACTCAGACAAGCCATTGCCCCACAATCTCCTCAATGAGCCACAGGCTTCCAAAGCCTTTTCTCCTAGCAAGTGAAAATACACAAGATGTATCAAATGCATTCCATGAACAGCAGGCTGCGAGCGACTGCCCCCTGTCCTCCTGACCATTTCCAAAGGAGAGTTGTACAGGATTAGGCTTTCAAATGATTCCTCTCCCCTCTCCTCATCACTGGGGTCATTTGGAAAGCCAGCTGTTCATTGGAAAGGTCTTTCTGTTCCCACAGACTATGACTGTGTAAAGTTTCAAGGTTGAGTTCAGCTAGAAATCTGGATTTAATACAGTGACATCACAAGGAGAAAGCAATGAGCCCGCCTCTTGGAGAGTTTTTGGAAGCCAAATCTGTATTGCTGCAATCGCATTTCTCATTTTTGCTAGAGAACTCTGGAACAGTCAAACCAACTCTTCTTCTCCCGTTTTGCCTCACCCTTTTGTCTTGCAGTGTCCGTGGGGTTCGAATATGAGACCTGCCCCAGCCTAATTCTGTGGGAGAAGAGGACGGCTCTGCTTCAGGGGTTCGAGCTGGACCCCTCCAACCTGGGAGGCTGGTCCCTGGACAAACACCACACCCTCAATGTGAAGAGTGGTACGTGATGGGCTGGGGTGGGGCTTAGTGGTACACGACATACAGCCTCGTCTTCTCTAGAACCTTCTCCAACCTTGACATTGAAGTGATAGCCCTTCCCCTTCCTTCCGCCATTTTCATCAACTGCCCCTGCCGCCCAAATTCATACGTTTTTCTACCTTCTCCTAGGAACTGTCAACAACATTGGGCTGCTCTACCTGATGGGCTCTTGCACCTCCTAGTTCTCCTTCGGTCACCTGTGCAGATGTGGCCTGATAAGCCACACCTTTGGGGACTGCCCTCCCATAGCCGCTCCCTCAGCATCCTGAGAGAATGCAAGAGCTCCCCAAAGGAGAGGTCCTCCCATCTTTCTCTTCTCCCTCTCACTTCCCATCACCGATGGTGGCCAATCCAAGAGTCCTCTGCAGATGGCTGTGGTGACCACGTCCCTTTTCCTTCCTCCCCCAGGAATCCTGCACAAAGGCACTGGGGAAAACCAGTTCCTGACCCAGCAGCCTGCCATCATCACCAGCGTCATGGGCAATGGCCGGCGGAGGAGCATCTCCTGTCCCAGCTGCAATGGCCTCGCAGAAGGTAACAAGCTGCTAGCCCCAGTCGCGCTGGCCGTGGGGGTCGATGGCAGCCTCTTTGTGGGCGACTTCAACTACATCCGGCGCATCTTTCCTTCTCGAAACGTGACCAGCATCTTGGAGTTACGGTAAATAGCCCAGTGGGCAAGCTTCTGTTCTACGCTCCCGACTCTCGGGGTGCAGGGTGGCTCAATTTTAGCTTCTATAAGGGTGATCCAAAACCCAAGTCCAGAGTCAGTGAGGGTTTGGGGCACATGCTTGTGTTTCTATTGAACACCATGAACAAATTTGATGTAATTCCCAAGAACTGATGTACAAACAAAAGTAAGGGCTTTCTGTCTCCAAACTGGAGAAGGGTGAAGGCACCTTTGGTTTTTGAAAAGCTCTGTAGAAGATTCTGGTGCACATCAAAGTTGAAGAACCACCAACGTTCATTTAAAGCTTATATTGAGCACTGATGTGTGCTAGCTCTCTAGAAATTATCTTTGTCTTTGCACACCCCCTAGGATATGATGTAGCATAACCAAACTAAGTCTTGCTAGGCAATTTCTCCTGGTAGATATCTTCTGACCAAAGTCTGACTCCTCTGTGCTGGGAAAATAGTGATTCTAAACCCTCTTAGAAGTGCTTTTCCCAGGAAAGTTGATTTCAGGCCTCAACCCAAAGGAGGATCTACACATGGAGGAAGAGAGTAGGCCCGTAAATAAAGGGGAGGATTATTCAACAACTCTCTGGGAACAGACACCATGAGCCAGGGGCTGTCTGACTAGGGAAGAAAGTGGGGCTGAGCAAAGCCTCAGCTGTGTTTTGTGAACTGATAGGGAACCTCTGACCAAATCATGGGCCCAATTGGAAAACTAAGTTCAAGTAGCGTTAAATGCTTTAAGGAAATCTAACCGGACAAGACATGCGGACTAGAGGGAAGTAGGGGAAAGGAGGGTACATGACATAAAGCAGTCAGAGGAGCTCTCAAACTGGGCAGCATTGGAGCTGGGCCCTGAATATTGAGGGGAGAGCTGGGGGCAGCACTCCAGCTCCAGGCAGAGAGAAATTGTGCAAAAGTTCCAATGGCTACCAATAACCTAGCTTTCTTAAGGTCCCGATGGGCACCCAATGTGGCTGGGTGATAAGTTCAAGAGATCATCCTTGGACGAGATCTGAGAGGTAGGGGCACTGACACATCAGAGATATACTGACCACATGGACAAGTGTGAATTGCATTCCTATTGCAGTGGCTAGCCACGGAGGCTAAAGTAGCAAGTGGATGGAGTGGCTAGGGTCTGGCTGGCCTTTTCTAAAGATGTCTGTGACTACTGCGTGGAAATAGACTTCAGGAGAGCAGGAAAGCCATGGACACCTGCGGTAAAGGTCCAAGATTTGGGTGGCAGTGACTTAGACTAGAATGGTAGTGGGAAAGCTATGGAAGAAATATGGAACGTATCTTCTACTTAAAGTGATAGATTGCGTATAAGTTAGGAGGAGAGGAAGAGAGAGAGAGAGAGACAGAGAGAAATGAAGGGTGTCACCAAAACTGAAGCCAAGCCACTAAGTGGTGGCTGGTGCCTCCTGAAGCAGCCTCAACCACTATGTGGAAGACAGAGAAGCTGTAGGGACCATTGCATTTTAGTGTCCTTGGGGCCTCTCCTCAGAGGGACATCATTGGCCTGGCCACCACTCACCACTATCGAGTGTTCTAGGGAGCTGAGACCATGCCAGGCTCTATGAGGGGTAAAAGGAAAGGAGGAAACAGCAGCCCACCCTGAGGAGGCTACACTCCTCAGGGTCCAGAGGGCACTCACTGAGCATTGATGGTGAGCCTCTGAGGGCACAGGGCTGATGAATCTCAGGCTCAAAGAGCACACAGTCCAGGTGGAGATGGGCACCTGGAGAAGTGAAGAAGTCCAAGCTGAGCTGAAGAAAAGAGCAGGAGGCTATGGGGTGCTGGGGGAGGCTGACTTACCCAAAATATGAGCAAACAGAGCGAGGAGGTACCATGGGTCTTCCCCAAGCTGGTGGGGATGTCAGCCCAACACCTGCTCTTCCTAGTCCTCCCCACAAAAGTCTCCTTCCCAAGATTTCTGTTTCATTTGTGTAACCCAGGAAAGTCACCCTCTTCTCAGCATCCCCTGGCATGGGGAGCTATGGGAGGAGGCAGGGGAAGGTAGAAGGAGCACTGTGTCTTTCCAAGGATTAAATTATTCAATCTGGCATCTGTTATCCTCCACATCTGGCCCCTCCTCCCTTGTCACAGCTCTTGCCTGAAACACTACACACCCAAAACTTGGCTCATGCTTCTCGGAACACCTGCTGTACCTGATCTACCTCCTCCTGTCCACCTGCAAGGCCCGGACTGAGCATCTGTCTTCCATGAAGCCTGATCCCTCCAGGAGAAATAATTCTCCCTTTTGGAACCACTAGATACCCTGATTTTCTGTTAGAGCCAACATTACTTGCTGCCTTGTTGTCCAGTTATTTCTATGTAGGTCTTTAGGGTCCAGGTGTGTGAATTTCTGTAACACTGACATCTTGGTCCTCTTTGTCCCTTCATGCCTAGAGAAGTACCAGCCTACCACAGGAGCTCAAGATGGGCTAGCTGAATTACAGAACCACTCTCTTCCCTCTTGTTGGAATTTGTCAACTGTAAAGGTCACAATAACCAATGGTACAGGCTGAGGGCCCAATCAAAGCGAGCCACACCATGCCATGTGGAGATGTTCAGGGCAGCTTGAGGGACTAGGACCAATTTTCCTAGACAGCTGTGGGGGAGAGTGTTTTTTCCCCATTTTTCACTGCCTTTTGACTTGTTCTTGTTTCCCTGGCCAGGAACCCAGGGCCATCAGAAGTTAAGCTTTTACAAGAACACTGGTTTGATTCTTCTTTTCCTCCCACTACATTCCTGAAAACAAAGAGCTGTCAGTCCCCTCTCTTCAAAACAGCCACCAGCAGAGGGAGGGAGGAGGGAAGAGACCTGTCTTGCTTATGTCTATTCTCTGTTGTGAGTTGGCAGCTGAATGATTCAGTTTTGGAGTCGGTGCTCATCCCTGTCATGCCTACCCAACCCAGAGCAGAGCCTCCGAGTCGGCTTCTATTTAAGGGTTGCCATGGTTTTCCACTATCCTTTCCCTCCCTTCCTCCTTTGCCTACACAAAACATGCAGAGGACAGTTCTGTGCAATCTAGTAACTTTTGGTGCTAGAAGGAGCCTTCTTGTAGGGAAAATGGTTATCACCTGAGTGCTTTGATTTTTTTTTTAATTCCTTTTTTATCACTTTTCACTTTTACTCACATGTGTATACATTGTTTGGGCCACCTCTCCTCCCCACCACCCCCAAGTGCTTTGATTTAGCACTTTTTCTCCACCTTCTTTCAGAAAAGCTTAATGTCCTACCTGCAGTCACCCCTTTCCCTTCTTGCAACTATCCCCTTCTGCGTGGTCCTTGGAAAACCTAACTGCTGGGGCAGAGGAAATTTGCAAGTCACTAACATCTTGGGGTGAATCACTCTCAAAGAGAGATCCTTCTCTTCCCCACATGAGGACATTATAGGAAGTGGGCCCCAAAACAGGGCAGTAAGAGCAGTATCTCTCTACCTGCTCTTAATGTGGCCCCTTTCAATGGACGTAAGAATCTCAAGCATTTTTAGTGTTATAAATTTAACTATTTTTACTTCCCAAACATAAGCTATTTTATTAGATAAGCTTTTTTCCCAGTCAAACCAGTTCTCCGTTGCAGGCATTGTTACAGAGCTTTTGAGCTGGAGGCAGAGATCAGGAGGATCACAGTTCAAAGCCAGCCCCCACAAATAGTTCGCAAGACCCTATCTCAAAAAAACCCATCACAAAGAAAGGGCTGGTGGAGTGGCTCAAGTTGTGGGCCCTGAGTTCAAGCCCCAGTACCACAAAAAAAAAAAAAAGGAAGCAAAATGGCAAAATTTTTAAAGGCTGACAGCTAGCACAAGCCTTGCAAAATGTGGACAAACCTGGTGAGTGTTTTAACTCACTCCTGTTATTCACACTGTTACACCTCTTACACTTCTTGGCTCCATAATCTTTGGTTGTTTTTGAATATGAAAGTTATTTTGTAATTTTTTATCTACAGAGATAATAAGAAAGAATAAGGAGACATTCAGTCTTTCCTCTGCTATGATCAACACATATTTCAGGTTATTGGGGATTTTTGTGGGGCTAGGAATCGACCCAGGGCCTTGTGCACGGTACACAAGCATTCTACCACTGAGCTACACCCCAATTCTTGTTTCAGAATGTTGATAAATTAGAAAACTTCCTTTCATGTTCACAGTTGGCTATTGGTGATGTGTAATCTATTAAAATTATGAAATCTGAGAAAGCATCCATTGAGGTTCCTTTGTACAAGTATTTCTGGGCATTTCAAGTTTTCTTGCACAGGAAATGTTCTAAATGTTCTTTGAATTGATGCTCATTAAGCAGTCTGTCGTTGGTGCCCTTGCAGTGGTGAAGTAGGAACTCTACACTGGGTACCACAGTGACACCAACATGAATGAAACCACAGGCAGAGAGCTCCTGAGAGCCATTCTTATGCTGGCATGGCTAGCAATAATTTAGCCAGGTGCCAAGAGAACTACAAGCCACGTAAACACATCCCCCTAAAACTAAGCTAAACATATCCCCACTTAATTTCCCTTTGGTTAGAACAACAAGAAAACCATGGCCAATCCAACTCTACCCGACTCAAAGGGGAAAATGAGATGGAAAAGGAAGTGGAATGGAAAGATGGCAGTTTTGCCCTTCTGGGGACTGGAGCTAGGCCACAAGGGGGTCTGTCTAGCACTGAGGGGGAGCAGCCTCCTTTCGTGCTTCCTGCACTCGAGGAGTCACTCTCCCAGCCCTTGCTCAGTCCTGGACTCGCAACAGTAGAGAAGACGAAGAAGTGAGGCAGACACATATACACACAAATCACAAGGCAGCATGGTGACAGCTCTGCGGGGCAGGCAGGGAAGGCTGGAAGACCTTGAAGGCTTTGTAAAGAAGTCAGCGAGACACTGCCTGGGAAGAGCTAATCCATCTCACTTCTTAAAAATTGGAGACCCCACCTTTTCTCAAAGGGCTTAAATTGCTGAGGCCAACACACAAAGCCTGGGCCTGTCCCACCTAAGTAGGGCATCTGTACTCATCTGCGTGGACAGGCTCAAGGCTGCTGTCATTTTGAGTTTCTTGCCTGTTAAGCACCCAACCTACCAATGACCCTGGGCTGGAATAGCAGTGACCACAGCCTTTGTCCAAAGCTCACCCTCCCCATATAATCATGGGGACCCAACACCCTGCAGTGACTTGGTTCCCCCCCACCCCAGTCTTCTTCCCCTAACACAGATAGCACCTTAATCAACTTTTAGCAGATGTTCCAAGGAAAAAGTAGGCCATGTCTGCATACCCAAATCCCATCCAGTCTTTTCACAAAATCTTGACTAAAAAAAAGTGGAATTGATAGTGCAATAATTAAGAGCCAAATATGTCTACCACTGGTGGCAGATAACATTTCACTTTCATTAAGCAATATAAAATAGACGTGAGAATTCCCGGCTGCCACCCTGACACACCAGGCTTTGCCGAATGAATCTTAAATTGCACTATGTCAGTCAGAGCTCAGGAGTTATCGGCATCATTTAATTAACTTTTTTTTCTTGCAAAAACTAACACGTTAGAATAAAATATAAAAATCTAATCCCTGTGCAAACCCACCACTAATGATAGCCCCCGGCAGAGGCCCATGCGGCCCCTCAGATGAAATCAGGGCATTCGGCTCTCTCTGCCCCTTCCCAGAAACCTCCTCCCTCAGCTGGAAGGGAGAGAAGGGTCAGGCCTCCTCAGGCCTCCTTCCTTCCACCTTGACCTAGAAGCCTCAGGAATGGGAGCAGTTCTGCTTACTCAGGGCAGAAGCATCTTCTCTTCCTCCTAATGCTAACTTTCAGTCACTTCCCTGCTGAAAATGAAATGTATTTTTGTTCTGTAAAGGAAAAGCAACAAAACTTTTTCTAGCTTTCCAAAAAAGGAGTGGTGACTGGAGTCTTTGGCTCTAATTATGAAAGGATCTTATTGGCTTTGAAGATCAGGGCTGGAAGTATGGGTGTTACTGTGAGAAGAAAATGCATGTGTGGGGTCCCACCCAAGCAAGTGAGGTGGAGAGAAGGGAGGAGGCATGGAGCAGGGAGTGTCAAAGTTCAACAGAACCTTTACCGAAGGATCTGGGCAGCAGTTTTGTAGTACTGACTCTACCCTGACTGTACCAAGGGCAAATAGGGTACAGGTGTAACCACGTCCTTCCACACCAAGGACAGACTCTACAGATGAGTGCCAAAGCTAGCTCCTTACAGCTGAGCTTGAACTTGGGTTCAGATTCGTTCAAGCACCATACTCACAGAAGCCACTACTAGTCAGTGGGGGCGGTCCCTCTGGACGCATCTATGTCCTGTGGCCTGGGACAGCCACAATCTCTGTCAGAGAATGTAAGCATTCCTGATGACACCTTCCAGGCAGGGAGGAGTCCAAACTAGGGATTCCTCCAAGTAATTGAGCCAGGAACTGTCAGTTAGAAGGGAAAAAAAGAAAAAGCCTGCCTTTGGGGAACCCCTTTACACATAAGAAACAAAAAAAAAAAATGTTATGTTTGTTTCATCATCATTTCTTCAGCTAACTGTTTATTCTTTTTTCCTTCTGTTTTCTTTCTATAAAGAAATAAAGAGTTTAAACATAGGTAAGATCAAGAACTCTTTCCCATATAATTTGATATGGTTCATTTGCTTTTTTTTTTTTTTTTTTTGATTTCGTGTTACTTGTGTAGTGTTTTATATTTTTATGTACCAAATATAGTAACTTTTTATGTGCTAATTGTGTGTTGTGGATATGATAAGCTTTAGCAATTATGAAATGCAGTGAAAAAGCAAGCAAGTAGGCTGACAGTAATTAGAATTTCCGGGAGATACGAATGTAAGATAATGAACCCTTGGTGAACTTTTATCCCAACTGCTCAGTGTGGCCCATAATTGGGCCAAACAGTTGAGGAAAAACTTCTGGCTTTTGTAAATGCTGGACTGGGTTCACAGGAGCTTTAATGAACTGGAAACAGGTCAAAAACTCATTTTCAACTCATTAATGACTTTCCCCTAGATGTATGGTCATTTGAAAAAAATACACACACAAGTTAATTGCCAATCTTCTGATCAGAATCCCAGTCAGACGCACTGAGAATTTCCATGGCGTTAGCTTGCTTGTGAGTGGTGTGAAGGATGTAGACCAGGTGCCTTCTGTCTAAGGGGCCTTTGTCATTCCTTTGGTCCAAGGTTATTTAAAACCCTGCGGGTACAATTCACACACAGAGTGTACACACGCCTATGTGCATGCACACATGCACTGGGATGGATGGACACGAGCACTCTGATAGAAAGTGATGTTGTTGTCTGGAAAAGGAGAAAAGCAAGCAGCTTGTATCACTGCTAGCAGGAACCTGTCTTGCTCCATCCCCTGAAATGTGGCTTCTTTGTCAGCACATTAGACAAAGAGTAGTGTCAGTCAGTATGAGACCATCACTGTCAGTGGGAATGCGTTCTCTGTCTTCTTATTCTCCAGAACCCCAAAACTGGCAGGTTATAGGAGCCTCTGCTTTTCCTTTGGCAGTACCGGGGTCTGAAGTCTGGGCCCTGTGCTTGCTTGGCAGGCGCTGTACCACTTAAACCACACCCCTAGCCCTTTTTTGCTTTAGTTATTTTTCAGGTAGGGTCTCACATTTTTGCCCAAGCTTGCCTGGACCCCAATCCTCCTAACTAAGGCCTACTGTGTAGCTTGAGGTGATAGGTACACACAACCACGTCCAGCTCATTGATTGAGATGGGGTCTCACTAACATTTTGCCCAGGGCTGGCCTCAACTTATGATCCTCCGGATCTCTGCATAGCTGGGATAACAGAACCAAAGTTTCTTAAAGAGCTGAAATGTCCCAAAAGCCAAGGACTTCCCTCCTTCCAGGAAACCCACACGCCATGTTGGATGTTCACTACAGCCACAGGCATGGCTGTCTGTCTGACCCAGCTGCTCTGTAAGAATTTTTGTTGGAAGGAGTATGAGGCCATGGGGAAGAATGGTCTCCCCAAGCAAGAACTAACCCCACACCCCCAACTGTCTGCTCCTATGCCGGAGATTCGGAAAAGCCTCCTCGAATCAGGCTCCCTAGAAAGTCCAGAATTAATTAGCTTGCTCGTACATAGCACAGATGTGCTGTGCCTTGATCTTTCTGGTGATCACGCCAGCTACCGTTCATTCAGTAAGAGAGTGCAGCGTCTAATTAAAAAATGGCGTGAGTTCTTCCCTTTCTGCCCTAATTTGTTTTGCATATATAGATATTCTCTAATGATTTACCCAAGAAAAAAGGAAGAAGAAGCAGAAAGGAAGTGGAAAGAAAAGGAAAGGAAAAGGACCCCACTAGCCTACTCTTTCAAACTAGTTATCTGAGCTGGAATTTCGGAAGACCTTGACTCTTCAGTTTTGTGTCTTTATAGCAACCTGAAGAGAAGCTGGAATTAGTGATGATCTCGGCTCACAAATTGTTCCTAAAAATAGCTTCCTGGCTCTTTTTTCCCCTTCAATCGGAGAAGAACCCAAATGGCAGTGTTTTAATTAGTAATTTACAAGCTAATGTCTACAGGATAAATACCTCCAACACAATCATAGCCCTCACCTTCCCTTCACCTCCTCCAGCCCCTCTGCTCCCATCCTTTCAGAACGTAATTGAAAAATATCAGCAAGCAAAGGCCTGTGCTCATTTTCAGTACATGGTGCTGAAAGCTGGGCTGTCCCACTGGGGCAGAGACACAATCGCACATGCATCCTAGAGGAGGTAATAAAAAAAAAAAAACGAGCACCCACTCTGGTCCCAACTGACATGAGTGACAGACACCCCATAGGGGAGTGCTGTAGGGTTTTGAGCCAGAAGGAACATCAGCCATGATGATTTGATTTCTTTATTCCCTAAGGAAGGAAACTAATGCTCATTGTGGCCAAAAACCTACATCTTCATCCTGAGTGAATTCTACAAGTCCTAGCTCACTTCATGAAGGATAGCACAGTGCATGGTGGAGGAAGCTTCTGGGCCTCTGAGGCTCACACTTCACACGCACACAGCTGTCACCCCCTGCTACTTTGGTGCCCAAGCTGGCAGTCTTGACTTGCACCTTTGACCCCAAGTGTCACTCAAGACTTGAAAGCCATAGCTCCTCCCTCGTTAATTCAGATTCTGGCCATGATAGCAAGAGAGCTACCCTTCTCCCTACTGAATGCCGACTTGGTTTTCACCTACACTAAGGAGCAGGTGGAAGATCTGAACCTGAGGACTGGGGACAGCCCCCTGGGGAACTGCAGATTGCCCAGTGTTAGTGACCTGGCACCTTGGAGGCACCCAGGAGGCAGAGATTAAAAAGGGAATACGATCACATGGCAATTTCCCTCAGTCCCCTGGGAGAATACACTCAACCCATGGGGGGACACTGACTATCTATCACACACAGGGCTGGAGCAGGCCTTTGCTGCCAGCTAAGTGAAGCAACCGCCCCTGTAGCACGATGGGAGTCTGAACTCCGTGACAGTCTCACTAAAAGCAGCCAAACGGCCATGCTAAGTTAGAACAGCAAGTTCCCTGTCCGTTCTTTCCAGTTCACTAAAGTGCAGACTGTAGGGAAGGTAAAAGCGTGCTAGGATGTCTGCCATCTCTGGACCACGGGCCGCTGCACAACCCTTCTTCATTTCCCTTTCTGCTTCTCCTCCTAAAGCAACAACCCAGCACACAAATACTACCTGGCCGTGGACCCCGTGTCTGGCTCGCTCTACGTCTCTGACACCAACAGCCGCAGGATCTACCGTGTCAAGTCTCTGAGTGGAGCCAAAGACCTGGCTGGGAACTCCGAAGTGGTGGCCGGGACTGGAGAACAGTGTTTGCCCTTCGATGAGGCCCGCTGTGGGGACGGAGGCAAGGCCGTGGATGCCACCCTGATGAGCCCACGAGGTAAAGGCTGCAAGAGAAGACAGTTCCACGCACGCAGGGCTCGCTTCAGGCTTTGCTTTCTTTCTGTGGGAACCAGCAAAGGCTGACCATCCAAATTTCAACTCTCTCTGAGATAACCTAACCCTGATAGATAGATGGCTCTGGGGTGGGGCTGGGGTTGAAATATTTTGATTTATTGATAAGAAGTAAACTTTGGCCTTCACGTGTGTTACACATGGAAAGGAGTGAGGTTTTAGGGCTGCTGGCCAGAGGTAATCCCATCTAGCCTTTCATGTTAGGGAATAGTGGACGTTGTCTAGGGCCAGTGCCTACCCAAGAAAATGGCAGCTGGGAAGGCAGGGCTCATTTCCAGGGGTCCAGGGTGCCAAGGTTCTTGGAAGCAATGAGTTTCGATTTGGAAAGAAGTAAAGATGCTCCACATTAAGGTGCAATCGTGCAAGGGTCTAATTCATGTTAACATTTTCAGCTCCTGCCAAAGCAGTCTGCAGTGTAGATGAAGGATGCAAAGCCTGGTTCTCGGGCACTGAAATGAAAACACAAAAGAAATAGAAGCTCTGTGTGTGTGTGTGTGTGTGCGTGGTGTGTGTGTGTGCGTGTGTGTGTGTGTGTGCGTGGTGTGTGTGTGTGTGTGTGTCCGTGTGGTGTGTGTGTGTGCGTGGTGTGTGCGTGTGGTGTGTGTGTGTGTGTGTGTATCAGTCCTGCTGCAGCAGGAGAATGCTAGGGCCTGGTGCCCCCCGGGGCATTGAGGTGCTGATTGGAGTCGAGGCTTAATTGGGAATTCTTCCTGCAGGATCTGTTTGGAATTGGGGAGTTTGTGACTGAAGAAATCACTGTGTCGCAGCCTTGCTGCAGCAATCAACCCTGAGGGTATTTGAGTAATTTACCACTGATAATTTTTAGAGCAGTGAACTTTGGAAATCACTGGTTTTCTAGAGTGAGCAGAAGCAAGGTTACTTCCTCTGCCAAAGGAAGCAGGTGGGGTTTCAGCTGACACCCCGGGAATGGCACAGTGCCCATGGGAAAGGGTCTTGCCTTTAAAAGACAGAAAACTACCTCTCTTGAGCATGTTCACCCATCCAGGAAGGTGCCTGGTCCAAGCCGAGAGTGCCAGCAGGGCGTCCCCTACTTTCTCCCCACAAACCATCGCACTCTCTCCCAGGTATCGCAGTGGACAAGAATGGGCTCATGTATTTCGTGGATGCCACCATGATCCGGAAGGTGGACCAGAACGGTATCATCTCCACCCTGCTGGGCTCCAATGACCTCACTGCCGTGCGGCCCCTGAGCTGCGACTCCAGCATGGACGTGGCCCAGGTGAGGTGCTCGCTCCTCGTTCTCGTCACTCAGCAACTCCTGGTCCCTGTCCCAAAGTTCGCACTTGTGCCCATATGAGATGGAAAAGGAACGGGAGGGTGAGACGCGGACACTGATCACGGGCTTACTTGGAGAAGCCCTGAGTTGAACTGGACAGCAAAATGGCCTAGAAAAGTGTCAGCCAGGGATGAGAAAGAGAGGAAGACAGAGGGAGGAGGGGGAGAAGAGAGAGAGAAAAATTCTGCTCAGAGAGATCAAGCTGGCACCACTCCAGTGGTGGCAGAGTGCAGGGTAGGAGTCACTGTGTAGTTGTGTCTCTTCTCCGTCATCAGTGCAGGCTCAAGGCCGGGTGGCACAGCGCAGGTATCACTGAAAGCTTCCCTGCTCATGTGTGGTGACTGTGTCCTCGCTCTATAAACCTCCCCGGTGTGTGGTGGTGGGTGGTCAGAGCCCTCTGCAGTCCTCCACCACCATCACGAGTGTGTTTAGTCCAGGCTCCCGAAGTGCCCAAGAGCACAGGCTGCCCCGGATGGACAGCATTTGTTCTCACACAACCTGACATCTACGTTGGACCTCCCTCTATGAGTCTTTCAACTCTCGCTCACTCTCATACATTTCACCTCAAATCCCACAGCAAACTGACAACTTGCTTCGGGACCTTTATTTCAGTTTCCGCAGAGGAAGAATGTGCTTGATTCAGGTTTTGGGGGTCTTTTTGGTTTTCTTTCCCTAGCCAGCTTGTTCTTTGTCTGTTCTTGTCACCTTCCAAACCGCGTGGCCCCTTTTTGTGCTGTTTTTGATTTAGATAAAGGCGCCTCCTCTAAATGAATATAAACAGATGTAGCCTTTCCGGGTTCATGGGTTGGTGAGCAGAATATGGGCTGGACAGCACTGTCCCCTTGTGTAGTGGACGACCTGGACGACCATAGATGTCATCTTTGACCCTGGGTTGCCCTCTGGGGCTGAGAAGAGATATCGTAGGTAGAACTGGTGCTGTCTGTCACCTTGTCTCTTCTCTGCTGTGTGCAGTCAGTGGCTCGGTGACAAGCCCTCGTAGGGTTGGCATGCTTTGTGAACAGCTAAGTTTTTTCTCCCAGGTGCACCCAGTCCATTCACGAGCCCTCCGCTTACACGGTGGGTTATTAGAGGCTGGTCTTTAATATTCCATGTCATCCACAGGTGCGCCTGGAGTGGCCAACAGACCTTGCCGTCAACCCCATGGACAACTCCCTGTACGTTCTAGAGAACAATGTCGTCCTTCGTATCACCGAGAACCACCAAGTGAGCGTCATTGCAGGACGCCCCATGCACTGTCAGGTCCCGGCATTGACTACTCGCTCAGCAAGCTCGCCATCCACTCTGCTCTGGAGTCAGCCAGCGCCATCGCCATCTCTCACACCGGGGTGCTGTACATCACCGAGACAGACGAGAAGAAGATCAACCGCCTCCGCCAGGTCACCACCAATGGGGAGATCTGCCTCTTAGCCGGGGCGGCCTCCGACTGTGACTGCAAAAACGATGTGAACTGCATCTGCTACTCGGGGGACGAAGCGTATGCCACTGAAGCCATCCTCAACTCCCCATCGTCACTGGCTGTGGCTCCGGATGGCACCGTCTACATCGCAGACCTGGGGAATATTCGGATCAGGGCGGTCAGCAAAAACAAACCTGTGCTCAACGCCTTCAACCAGTACGAGGCTGCGTCACCCGGAGAGCAGGAGCTGTACGTGTTCAACGCCGAGGGCGTCCACCAGTATACCGTGAGCCTGGTGACCGGGGAGTACCTGTACAACTTCACCTACAGTGCTGACAATGACGTCACTGAGCTCATCGACAATAACGGGAACTCCCTGAAGATTCGTCGGGATAGCAGTGGCCTGCCCCGCCACCTGCTCATGCCGGACAATCAGATCATCACCCTCACCGTGGGGGCCAATGGAGGCCTCAAGGTCGTGTCCACGCAGAACCTGGAGCTGAGCCTCATGACCTACGATGGGAACACCGGGCTCCTTGCCACCAAGAGTGATGAAACCGGATGGACGACTTTCTACGAGTAAGTAGCTCGGAATGATCTCAGAAGAAGTTGGGGGCTAGGGACCCATGCCTGTAATCCTAGCTACTTGGGAGGATGAGAATGGGAAGGTTTGAGGGAGGGAGGTCATGAGATCCCATCTCAACAACAAGCTTGGCACTGTGGCACACACCTGTCATCCATCCCAAGCTGCATGGGTGGCTGAGATTTGACAGGATCATGGTTCCAAGCCAGCCAGAGCAAAAAAGTTTATGAGACCCCCATCATAACAGAAAAAGTTGGGCACTGTGGTGCACAGCTGTCAATCCAGCCATGGCAGGAAGTGTAAAATGGGAGGACCAAAGTCTAGACCCACCTGGGCGAAAAGCCAGAACTTACCTCCAAAATAACCTGAGCAAAAAGGACTGGGGACATGACAGAAGCAGTTGAGCGCCTGCCTTGCAAGAGTTCAAATTCTAAACAAACCAAAAATTTTTTAAAAAAACAAAACTCTCTGAAGAGAACTCACCCTGCAACCCTCACTGACGTTCAGCTTGGCCCTTCATGTGGGTTTTTAAATTGCTTAGTCACATTGTTTTCCTAACTTTAATGACTTCTCATGGCGTCAAGACAGTCACGGCCCCTCTCCCTGGCTCTTAAACGATTTGCTCTGTTGGGCCTCTGGTATTTAACATTCCCCTCACTCGCGTTGGGAATCCCTGGTGTCTGCCTGCCGTTCAAATTTCAGGATATTGGACACGCACAGAACCTGGGAGATAAAGTGCTGATTAACTCTGCTGATTATTCATGTTTCCATGGGTGCGGAAATTAGAACCTAAGAGGCGAGATCCCAGTGGGGAACCTGTAATTCGCCAATAGGTTCAGCCACACACTTGACTGCACAGACAGGTAGATACACTCTGAATTTCCTCTTCGGCAGAAGCAGATCAATACAGATAAAGTGCTGGGTACATTAAGAGATGCAAGGGCTGGTCTGTTTCCCCTAACAATTATCTCATACTTAATGGTCCCCGCCGTTTGTTTTGTCAAAAAGCTGTTTGGGTCCCCGCAGCTGCTCTTGGCCAGGCTGCTGCAGGTGTAACGGATGAGGTGCTGGTGGGAGGAGGCGCTAAAGCAGGACGCTAAAGCAGCTGTCCTTCCTGGTGAAGGGACCTGTTAACCCTGAGGCATTGGGAGCCCTCGCTTGCTTTCTATGCTGTCTCTATGTTGTTGCACGCTGTAAATTTAGTAAGTTAGGATGGGGTATCACAGAGAGAAAAGGGGGCAAGAGAAAGAAGGGAAGAGTCCAAAATCCAGGACCATCCACTTTCTGCTTGCCAAGGGGCGAATGCAGAAGGAAGCTGTTGCCACCTGCTGGAAACTTCCTGCATTGCAGGATTACCGTGCCTAGCTGGCTTCCTCCTTTGGGCAAAGCTATCTTTCTCAGACTTCTGAAGCATCCTCACATCCTCATGACCCTAGAACTTGATCACACTTCACCAGCTGGTGATTTTTCTCCTGAGGGGACATCTGAGTGCCACCTTCAGCTCTCACGGAAAGTAGGTTAAGGCTCTGCGTCAGCCCACGTGACTCCTGGATGGTCATACTCCCTCCACCTAAAGATGCGATGCGTTTAGAAGGTATATGTTGAGTCACCTGAGTGAGAAACGGCCACTGTCGGGGAGGCCAGTCTGAATGAGGGCTGTCTGGGACTCTGGTGCAGCAGCTGGCAGGGAGTGGGGACACTCCAGCATCCCTAGTTTAAGGAAAACACAGGCATGAGTATTACAGTTTTAATGCTTGTTCAGGAGTTACGGTGAAACCCATAACATTTTCTCTCCTAATCTTACAAGCTGGGTTTTGTCCCTCACAATACGGGTAAACCCAGCATTCCCAGGTTCTCCACCGTGGAATTCAAACATGCAGTTTTCTCGGCCTTCCGAAAGAAGGCTCACTAAAAACATAGTGAGTTCTTTGGGGTTTGTAGAGCTTTTGACTCATGGTCAGAAATTTGGAAGTTTAAAAATCAGACACAAGAGCCAAGGGCATGGTTCAAGTGGTAGAGCACCTCCCTAGCAAGCACAAATCCCCCAGGTCAAACTCAGTATCACCCAAAACACAATCAGACACAAGCTGTACCTTGTGCAGGGACAGTGAGGTTGAGGTCAACACTGCACAGCCACAGGTGTTAACAGTAACAAGGAAGACCACAGAGAGGCCATGAGGCTCTCGGAAGACAGTGGCTCTTCAGTGGGAGCCTGCAGAGGTGGCCCTGTCTCTTCCCACTCGTTACATGAGGCAGGAGCAGAGGCCTCCGTAGGCAGGAAGAGTTGTGGTACAACATCTCCCCATGACACTTTAAGGGTAGAAAAGCCATTTATCTGCTCAGTTGTCACAGCGAGCCTCTATAGGTAGACTTGATTCTGCCCATTTTAGGATGAGGAAACTGAGGCTCAGAGCTGTGAAAGCACTCCTCACAGGCCTCACAGGAAATCAGTAGTGCCCCTGGTGCTGTTTGCAGCCACCACTGAGACAGGGCTGGAAACAGACTTTGGGGCTCACCTTACAGCTCCACATGGAAATTGTCACTGAAGTTTAGGGAAGATGTTCCCACTGAGCACAGCTTATTATTAATGCCAAGAAGCAGAGGGAGAAATGGAGGAAACTCACGTTAATGAATCATTCTGATTCTGTGCCATGATCAGCCAGTTCCAGAAAGTTCCTGGAGGCCCAGCCTTGGACTTAAGATTTCTCTAGCTGCAGGCCATCAGTCCTGATAGAAGTGGCCTGGGCAAGGTCAATCCCTGAGGGAACACTGGTTTTCTCGGCCCTCCACAAGAGACAGCATGGCGGACCAGGAAGCTCCTGGGTCTTGACATCAAGACAGGTGTGTGGATGTCACAATACATCCTGACTGGCCTTGGGTAAATGACTCAATCTCCCTCAGTCTCAATGTCCACATCTGTCGAAGGCACAGGTAATCATGCAACTGCTGTGATAATTTATTGAGCTAATACACGTTTAGAAATTAGTACTTGACCAGGCTTGGTGGCTCACACCTGTAATCCCAGCTATTTGAGAGGCAGAAAAAATGGGGAGGATCGTGGTTCCAGGCCAACTCCAGCAAAAAGCTAGTGAGAACTCATCTCAACCAACAAGCCTGGTGTGGTGGTACACACCTGTCACACCAATGATGTAGGAAGTGTAGGTAGGAAGATCACAGTCCAGGCTGGTCCAGGCTGGCCCAGGCAAAAATATGAGAGCCTATTCAAAAAATAACTAAAGCTAAAAGGGGGAGTATCTGGGGCTGTGGTTCCAGTGGTAGAGCCCTTGCCTAGCAAGAGCAAGGCTCTGCATTCAAACTCCACAAAAAAAAAGAAAAGAAATTAGCACTTGCCATACAGAAGCTTAACATCAGGTGCTAATGGGGCCTGAGGTGATAATGAAGACCCCGCCTCTCCATCCCCCCTCCTCTCCATGCCACCACTCGGTTCCATGCAATCCACCCAAGTGGTGGCTCCAGGCATCAGATAGGGACTTCTTGAAAAAGGGAAGAACTAAAGAACACAGCCTGCACATTGAGTCTTCTTGATTCCTCACTTAGAACTTGTCCTGCTCCTTCTGACCCCAGTGCTGGCGGTCCCCGCCCCTGCAGGAGCAGAGCCTGCCCTAGCAAACTGGGACCCCAGAAAACACATCACCCAGCAGAACAGGCCCTCTAGAGAAAGAAACTCTCCAGCTGTGTGGAACCCTCTTCTCCTAAGCAAGCGGAGAAGTGGGGACAGAGAAAACTTTGGAAGTTGACTTCTCTCAGAGCAGGATTCAAGAGTAAGCAGGTAGAGAGAGCGGGCCTTACAAGACAGGGCTGGAATGGCCCACTTTGACAGCTATCCTTTTCTCCTCCTCTTGGTGCAGGGAAGTGGCTTTGGGACAGCTGGGTAGGAATGGAGCAGAGCTGGGGAGGCCCCTGGGGAATCCTGTCATGCCCAGTGCATTCCCAGATTGGGGGGAGAGCCAGGGCTATTTTGACCTCTCCATCTAGCAGGAGCACAAGGATTTGGATCCATTTTGTTCCCACCCGTATCTCTAGTTCTTTGAGCAGGCCCTGGCAATAGATGCTTCATGAATATTTATCGACTCAATGAGTCAAAGGCAGCCTCCAGCCCTACACCGGCCAAGGCCAGTTAACTGGCCAGCAACTCCAGGCTCCTGCACGCACAGCCATTTGCAGGTGGACCTGAGTCTACAGATATGCCTCAGGGAAAGGAAGCAGAGCTGTGGGCAGCTGAACCTTCATGAAAGTTGAAGATTATTCTGTCCCCCAGGGCCCAGAAGAATTCAGTCCCTACCCCAATGCTCTGATTCCCTAAGGTGGCAAATCCAGTCCCTCCTTCTGCTCCATCAGCAGGTCCTGGAACTTCAGTGCATTAGAATCAAAATCCATGCCTGGGTCCCAGAGAGTCAGCTCTCCACACAGGAGGGGACGTTGTCCGTTACACTCTCATTGCTTCACTTTCTCCTTTTTTAAATATTTTTGGGCTTCTAAAACATGAAAGTAAGTTATTTTCCTAAAGTGTGGGAACATACAAAGGGGAGAACAAGCATTAATGAAAACCCCACACAGAAAGCCCACCGTTGACAGTTCCTCAGCTGTGAATCCGGAGAACTTGGTCTGCATATAGATACTCCCGTGCTGTCAGGGAGCACCCCTTCATCTCCCCTCTCTCCACTCCAGAATACATGCATCGGCTGATAGACAGAAACCCTGTCCACAATTTTGATGGTTCTCAGGTTTCTACTTGATACATAGATCCTCGGTTAGTTAATGAATCTTTGATCAATGAATATCTAGGTTCTTCTAACGTGTCACTATTGTAAGTAACATCTTTGTGTCCCCATCTGAGAGATGGTTACTTTAGCACAAGAGAGCCCCTGTGACTCAGAGGGCCTGGGTCCCCACCCGTGTTACAGCCCAGGCTTTGGAGGGAAGGTGTAGTCTGTAGCATTCACTGTCTAGCGTCCTGGCCAGTGATGGGGTAGATACAAGAGGCCAGGCTCCAGCTCACTGAGATTCCCACCCAGAGCACCCTCTGTCACCCTCACCACCTGAACCCTACTGGTCATCTGCCTTCACATCCACCGAGCTTGACTGTCCTCTGGTGTCCCAAAAAACAAGATTTCTAAGCTTGCCTCCAGTCTGAGACAGGTCTGCATCCAAAACCAGTGTCCAGGACTCTCCATGTTTGTTTCTGTATCTTAAGTGACAAGGCCAAATGGGCCACAGTGATTCCTTCCTTCACTTCCCCACAAGGATCCTTTCCTGAGGGTCTCCTGCACCCCACATGCAGTACAAACTCCAGCACCCATTACTCAGAGCCGGCCAGCCTGCTCCATCTCCCCAGTCTGAAGCAGGGCACCCTGAGGGCCAGCTGTTTGTCCTCCTTTTTCAACCTCCAAGACAAAGGCCCTTGAATTGCTCTGCCTTCCTCCACCGTCCCTCCTGAAGGCACAGGGCCAATGGGGGAGAGCTGAGAGCTCCATAGTCGAACTTTGGGAAGACTCCGCTTTCCTTTCCTGGGTTAGGGAAGGGCCCAGCTCTCAGAAAAACTGCAGATCCTCCAGGATGGGGAATTGCACCACAAACGGGACCAGCGGGGCTTCCTGATAAAGGAGGCAGTGAAACGACACCCCACATCCTGATTTCATCAAAAAGAAAAGGCCACCTCCAGACAGCAGGGCACAGCCAAGATATGCCTAGACTTGGGTGTGGAGACAGCTGAGGTCCAGTGAGCAGTGAGAAAACTGTCTAAGAAGGCTGCTTGGGGGCTCGGTGGAAGGGGGCGCTTGCTATCATGCACGAGGCCCCAGGTTCCACCCCAAGCATGGAATGAAAGGGGGGGGAATGGAGGGAGGGAAGGAGAGAGGGAGAAAAAAGGAAAAGAAGGCTGTTTCAAGATCTGAGCCGTGGTTGATCTGGGGCCACAGGACCAAGAAGCAGGTGGCATGCAGCCTAGCCTGCCATGCTTGAGTCAAGACATGGAGGTGGCATTTGGCCCCAACTGGCTTTTGGGACAAGGTCATAGCCTGTGGAGGCTATGGACTCAGGGCTTAGATGGTCTCAAATGCCAGGTTTTGGTTTGACTGAGCAACCAGTGGGGAAGACCATGGCTTACTCCGAAAAGACCTGCCATGATGAAACTGATATTTGGGGAAGATTAATTTGGTGGCTTTGCAGAACACATAAATTAAAGAGCAAAAGACGCTTAGCAGTAGCTGTTCTGTCTAGTTTAGGAAAGCATGATTAAGTGTACTCGGCCTGAATCAGGGGAAATGTTTCCAGGGACATGAACCCGGTTACACCCACAGGTAGAGAAAGCAAGGCTTAGGTTGTGACAAGGGGCCTCAGTGTGGTGCACCACCTGGTCACCCCACCGTCCAGTCTCTTTTTTTTGGCCCCTTGTGTGGTTCTGGATGTCGGGAAAACCTTCATCCCCACTGATCGTACTTTCAACTGGTGTTTATTGTTTTCTTTTTCCCTCCAGCTATGACCATGAAGGCCGTCTGACCAATGTGACACGCCCTACTGGGGTGGTGACCAGCCTGCACCGGGAAATGGAGAAGTCTATCACCATTGACATTGAGAACTCCAATCGTGATGACGACGTCACTGTGATCACCAACCTTTCTTCTGTGGAAGCCTCATACACAGTAGTTCAAGGTAAGCCCCATCCAACACACCCACCCAGACCCAGGGCTGAGGTGGGAGCCACCTCGCCTGAGAGGGCTTCCCATACCCAGAGAGCTCTCCATGGCTTTCTGTCATATCCAAAGGCCCAGAGCAAACCAGCTCTACAAGGGGCCAATCATGACTCCATTAAATACAAAGAAACTCCATCCACACCCTAACAAATGCATTTACAACCCACCAAGGTATTTGTAAATGTCTACCTATCTGCAAATGCCCATTCTCCCCGCCAATCCCTCTTACCCTCCATCGCCACCACTCCCCACCAACCCACCCCACAGTTATTATCTTCTCAAGGGCTGATTATCCTCTGGGACGCACCACTGGATTTCGATTTCATTGTTCCGTTCTGATTCTCTCTTGCAAACATGTCTTTGTTGAGCTGGTTGCCCTTGGATCTGAGCTCTTCAGCAGTCCCCTGCCAGGAGACCTCGGTCTCAAGATCTCTGGCCACCCCGTGGTTATTGTTGCTGTTAGACGTGGCGTGCAGTCCAAGACAAGCACAGAAGCTGGCAAGAGAAAGAACTGTGCAGATTAATTTTTCTTTTAATTAAGATACAATGTCGGTGGGCTAGCCAGTTGTCAGAGGATAAAAGTGTCCTCCCGGGAGATAAATGGTGGCATTTCTGGACTATTATCCCGTGACAGAGCCTGTTTCAATGACTCTATTGCCACTCTGCCAGGTGATTAATGATGTAGATTCTGTGTCCTTCTGTGTGATGGCTGGATTCACAGAGTGACAACACCCTTGCTCACTCCCCCAAAGGCTGGCATCTCAGAAGCCAGCCCAGCATGGTTCCGCTGCCCCAGCAAGGATCAGGAAGTAGCCTACCCATAAAAGGCCACTTGCATTTCCTTCCTGCCACTTGTCAACACGGGAAAAGGTCAGCCGTCTGAGTGACTCGTGTCGATCCACCCAGGAAGGTAAACATGCATTATCCCCATCCACCCTATGCTACGTGAGTCTCTTCAGAGTTCTCTAGAGTGGAGCTGGCTTTGTGATAAAGCCAGCTCCGACAATGTGAGGAGAGAACTGGTGGCTTTTTCTCCTGATTTCGTTGAACAAACCTGGCCTTGCTTTGTAGTAGCTCTAACCTGTGGCTAGACCCATCCACCTTGGGTCAGATCGTGGGCACAAAAGGGGAAGTTGTTTACCTTTCATTTATTTTTTTTTCCATAGAAGCTAAAATATATATGTTGAAGTTTAGGAATTTGATTGACACAGATCGCATAGGCAACAGACACTCTAAAATGTTTAAATATACTATGAATAGTTTTCAGTGAGTAAAAGAAAGTATCCCGGCATAATTATTTCTGGAGTGTCACATTTCCTTCCCGTGGATCAGAAACACCTGTGCTACCCATGGTCCCCTCGTGCGTGTGCTAACCGAAGGCATCCTTAGACTGACAGCCACGGAGGGCCGTGGAACCTATGGCAATGGGTTCTAATCTCCTCTGACTCACCGTGGATAATGTGTTTGCCTCCCCCACCCCACCCCCCTTCGTCCAGATCAAGTGCGGAACAGCTACCAGCTCTGTAACAACGGTACCCTGAGGGTCATGTACGCCAATGGGATGGGTGTCAGCTTCCACAGCGAGCCCCACGTCCTGGCGGGCACCATCACCCCCACCATCGGGCGCTGCAACATCTCGCTGCCCATGGAGAACGGCCTGAACTCCATCGAGTGGCGCCTAAGGAAGGAACAGATCAAAGGCAAAGTCACCATCTTCGGCAGGAAGCTCCGGGTGAGTGATCCCGTCCTCCTTGTCACGGCCGAGTGAGGGGACACACACTCTCCCCACAGTGTGCAAAGAGCCTCCCAGCCACTACGCCTCCCTTACTCCTTCGTTCCCTGAAAAAAGCCACAACTGTCCCTCAAAAGATGGGAGCCACAGCTCTCTGGGTCTCACTCCCCAGGGGACCCATTCTCCACTTCCTGGGACTGCAGTAGGCAGGCACTTCCTACTAGGGGAATGCCAGTCTGCCATAGATGGAGAGGGCTTGTGTCTTCTCACACTGCCACCTTGTCTCAATTTTCACTGTCTGGCCAGTTCAACAGATGAACTGAGGCTGCTGCCTACTGTGTGCTGGTCGTCTGCTAAATACTAGAAGAACAAAAATTGTAGGATATGTTCTTTGCATTCGGAGTTGGTGGTCCTGTCACGTAGGCAAACACAGGATGACCACAGTTTAGTGAAAAGACAGAGGTTGGGCTGGGGGAGTAGCTCAAGCTGTAGAGTGCATGCCTCACAAGCATGAGGCCCTGAGTTCAAACCCCAGTGCTGCTAAAAATAAAGAAAGAAAGAACCGCTCTACCTGACCTGTATTGAGGACATGTGTGGTGCAGCACTGTGTGACAATGCTTTTCTTGTGTTCTCTCATTATAGTCTTTTCAACAGCCCCACTGAGGTCATTACTGTCACCTCCAGTTTTTAGTTGAGAAACAGAGGTTCAGGGAAGGGAAATGACTGTGCCGGGACAAAGTGGCAAAGCAAGGACACGGCCCAGGTTCTACCTTTCTGTCCAGCTCCCTGGTCAGTATTCTTCACTACTGTCCCACACAGCTTCCTGCTAGATTCACTGTCATCCAGATGATCTCAGCATGAGTGCATCCTGCTGTAGTCAGTTGTCTGTCACCAGAGGAGCCTGTACCTGCCATCCTGCTAGACCTCAGATTCAACACATGCTTTTCGACACCACTGCACACCAGGTCCAGTGCTGTGCACTCCAGATCTACAGCCCACAATGCAAAGCTCCCCTTCCTGTGACTGTTGTTCTGATCTGGACGACAGAGGGACAGATAATAAGTAAACTAATAAACACCTAAAACAACAGCAGAGCAAGACAAACCTAAGAGAGACTGAACCACAGAACAAGACAGAGCTGCCCTATGTTTTGGAGTGCTTGTGAGTAGCGATCACAGCATGGAAAAAACTCAGGTCATAATTTCTGAAATCCAGCAGGCCAGGTGGCCTCCCCGCAGAGCCATACCAGCCCATATTAAGAATTTGCCTTCGTCTGGCTGGAATTGAATTCTCCACGTTAGTCCCCCATGTTTTTCTTCCTCGGCTGGTGTCTGCAAAGTTGCACGCTGCAGTCTCTTCCGAAGGACAAAAATGAAATGAGATTAGTAGCTACATTCTTAATGACTGGATTCCAGGGCTATGTAATTGATTTTTGATACACTGCACTGTAGAAGTAGTCACCATACCTCTTCCCTGATAAATCAGCTATGCATTTTGACTAAGTTTTCAAAATAAAGATAAACGTGGCCCTAAAATAAAATGGCTATAATCCCAACTCTGAATATTAAAATTCTTAATAATGGTACTTGTGGTAATTAGCACAAGTTAGGCGCGCAAGTCTTCTCACTGAAATTCTGCCAGGGTTAGACTTCCTGGCATGATGTTTATGCAAATCAAAACACAGCTTTATCTATCAACACCTCAACATTTAATTGTCTGGTGTTCGTTCCTGTAACAATAATCACATATCCATTTAGCTCTCTTAAATGAAAATCACTATGAGCTTATAACAGGTTGAGTGGACTGAAAATGTAATTTGAAAATGAGGGAGAAAGCCTGGAATTTATTTGCATCTCATTTATTTTAATTCAGTTCATAAACTGTTTAGTGAATGAAATAAAAAAAAACTGAAAATTGCGGGGAGCCACTGGAAGAAGGTGGCTGGGAAGCGTTGGGTGCCACCCTGTGGATTAGAGAGCCTGGGGGATGGGCCCTTCCTTCTGACACTTTGTGAGCTCCCGGCAGGAGCTTGCAGACCTGCTCTGAGGCGGCTGTGGCCCCACCAGGCAGGTGGGCCTCCTCAAGGACTCCAGCCCCGCATTTTTCACTCCTGCTCTACTGACAAATGGGGCCGTTGACATTTTTCATTCATCCAGAGGTGTTTGCTGAGTGCCCACTCTCCGTCCAGAACCAGGCATGGGATGAGTAGACAGAGAGAGAGAGAGCTGGGTCCTTGCTGCCGAGGAGCCTACAGTCTGGCTAAGAAGTCAGTGTGGGCAGCGCCACGAAAGCCAATATAAGGCAAGAGTGCTTACTTGTATCAGTCAGGAGAGGACAGGCTGTAGCCAGATAACAAATGGACCCTGAAATCTCTGGAGCTTTCGCACATAAAACACAGTCCCAATCAGCCAGGTGACTCTTTTTTTTTTTTTTCACTTTTCCTTGTTTTCTTTGTTAGGCGGCTCTTCTTTACGATGACTTGGTGACTCAGTCCAGGTGCTCTGTGTAGGGTGCCTTCGCTCCTCGGCACATGGCCTCCAGGGTGACTGTAGAAAAGGGAGGAGACTTAATGCTTACGGGGACTTCACGAACAGCCTACCCTTGGCATACACCCTTCCACCCACCACGGTGGGCACTGAAAAATGTCTTTCTGATGCCTGGGAAGGAGAAGATGAAGGAAGATTTGGGGAACCCATGGCAGGGTCTCTGCATCCAGGATCAGGTCTCAGGATTGACAAGGGACCTGGAAGGGCTCCATGCAGAAGTAGCAGGAATATAGGACAATCAGAGAGTATTGCCTGCAAAAAGGCCAAAAGACCAAAAAGGGAATGGCATTCCAGAAAACTTTAAGAAACTCAGTGAGGCAGGAGCATGGCAGGATGTGTCATCGTGAGGCACGATGGCCAGGGCAGCTTGTGGAAAGGAATATTGAGCTAGGCTGGCATTTATCCTGGACAATGGGGAGCTGTCCCCAGGCTCAATCAGCAGAGTGATGTGCCCGGATATGTGATGTTAGAAAGACCTCTCCAGTTTCTGCGGGTGTGGTGGAAGACAGATGAGGAGAGAAGATAAGAGAGGGACACCTAGGACACTGTCGCATTCATCCAAGTAAAAGATAAGTCACTCCTGGGGAAGAGAGATGAGGACAGACGAGGAGGAGAAGCTTAACAGGATTAGCATCAAGCCTGATGGCTGTGTTGTCCTGACTTCCTGTGACAGCATAGACCAGGAAGGCTGTGAGGTCGAGGAGCTGGGAGCAGAGCCCCAAGGCAGAGGTGGGGGTTCTGGACCAGGGAAGGCACTGAATGAAGCTGAGAATGTCACCATTTAGCCAGCACCGTGTCACAGCAGGGCTTGGGTGGTTTGCAGCCCTGGGCAGCAGAAGTTTGGAGCTACTCTGTGGAGTGAGTGTCGTGCATTGTAGCCACTGACCCGACCATTCCCAGGGGCTGACCAGATCCTGGAAGTCTGGCTGGGAGAGGGGTGGGGACTGAGGCTGTGAGCATCCCTGGACTTGGGAGCCGACCAACTTCCCAGGGAAGCCATCATGACAGAACCATGCCAGAAAAGCTCTCGTCCACCTCGGCACAGTCTTGGCACAGTCCTCCAGGCAGAGGCGTCTCTGAACAGAAGAAGAGGCAGATGGTCCTCCGTGGAGGCTGGGGAGATGTAAGATGGTGGGCAGATAGACCGGGACCCCAGCCTTCCACCAAAAGCTCCGTAATGTTTGAGCCAGAATTTAGGGGATTAGTCCCTTCATCCCTGCCCAAGGGGACATAGGCAGCACTTTCACGGTGCCTCCCAAAGACTTGTCCTTTGAAGGAGTCCCTTCCCTGCCCTCCCCTCCTTTCTCTGATGCAGTTGTGTCACAGTGGCTCTCAGTTCCATGGTTAGGAACACCTTTCCACAGTAGCCCTGCTAGCAAGGGCCATGTTGGTGACACACAGACACGAGAACAAAGGAAGCTATGACAAGCTTACCCTTGCTAGGATCTTTTCTTTTTTTTTCAGATGGGGGTCTCACTATGTTCCCAGGCTGGCCCCAAAACTCCTAGGCTCAAGGGATCCTCTGATTGGCCTCCTGCATACCTGGGACTACAGGTGTATGCCACCACGCCTGGCTTAGGCTCCTCTTCCAAGGAGCTTAGCATGTAAATTCTCCCCCACCCCAAGCGGCATAAATTCAGCAATGCGTGCTCCTTTCCATGTCTCGATGCAAAACACAAGGAGTACCTTCAAACCAAGATGATAAAAACGGGCTTGCAAAACTCGAGAAACCATATCTCAACCAACAGCTGGTGCAGTGCCACACATCTGTCACCCCGACGCCGCACAGGAGACTGAGAGCAGTTCTAGGCAAAAAAGTTTTCATGACTCCTAGTCAACAGAAAAAAGTTGAGCATACTGGTGCACCCCTTTCGTCCCAGCAATGGTAGGAAGTATAAAATAGAATCACAGACCAAGCCAGCCTGGGAAAAAATGAGACCCCATCTCCAAAACAACCAGGTCAAAGTGGCTGGAGGCATGCCTCAAGTGGTAGGGCACCTGTATAGCAAGTGTGAGTTCCTCAGCCAAAAAACAAATTTTTTTCTAAATTCTGCTCTTTCCTGAAATGGAATCTCTGCCTGATTCTCTCTGAAAAGGAAAGCAGTCCTTCCCTGATTTCACACAGAGATTGCAAAAGGCACAACTGCTGTGTAGGAGCAGAACCAAAGAAGACTTGCTTCCTCCATCACCCTCCATCGTGGTACTGCTGTCAGTGGTATTGGCATTCCAAGGTGACGTGGGTGTGTGTCACTTTGTTTTGGGTTCCATGCAATTAACGTGACATTGCAACTGCTCGACAGTTCACAGTACCACTGGAGCAAGGTGGGGGGCAGACGTGCGCGTGTACACGTGGGCTCACACCCATTCTGCACGAGCCTGTGACTCATCATGAAAGCTGGAATGTGGGGGGGATCTTTTTTTTGTGGTACTGGGATTTGAACTTGGGATCTGGCACTTGCTAGGCAGGTGCTCTAACACTGGAGCCATGCCCCCAGCTCTTTTTGCTTTAGTTATTTTGGGGATAGGGTCTCACATTTTTGTGTGGGCTAGCCTGGATCACAATACTACTTATACCTCCCACGTAGCTGAGATGACAGGCGTGCACCCCCATGCCTGGCTTGTTGTTGAGATGAGCGCCAAGGAACTTTTTTGCCTGGACTGACCTCATACCATGATCTCTCCCAATCTCCAGCTCCTGAGTAGCTCGGATTACAGGCTCAAGTCACCATGCCCAGCCAAGCTGGAGTTTCATCCTTCCTGCCACAATGCATTCATTCGTCTCTTGAGCAGTATAGTCGGTATTTCCAGTACCTACTATGTTCTTAGCACTGTACCAGGCACTGAGTATACAGGTGAACAAAACAGAAAACGAGACCCAACGTGACATCGTGGGCCACGTGTATGCCTATGGGAGAACTCACAGGAAATTCCATATTAGCTTAAGTAATACGTAATTGGAAGGGACAGTTTCTGCCAACTCAGTCAACAGTGTATTCCCTCAGCAAATTACTTTTGGATGGTTGGTGAAAAATGAAAAAAAGAAAAAAACCACAGAGCTTATACCTTAGCAAGGAGACACAGATGATAGGGGAATAAATACACAAATAACATAACACCACGCCCACCTTTTTAATTGGTTGAGATGAAATCTCAGGAACTTTTTGCCCAGGCTGACCTCAAACCTCAGTCCTCCCAAGAAGCTAAGATTACAGTCACAAGTCACCACACCCAGCCTTATTCTAGGTTTTTCCACATTAGCCTTTAAGGTGGTCACAGCTGGCAGGGTTCACATCCTCGCTCTAATTCAGCCCTCTTACTCACACATCTCTGCATGGAGCACCACACATTTTCCAAAACCGTGGAGACACTAAGAAAACTAAGATAAAGTGCCTGTCACCTGGAGCTCCCAGGCTATGGCAGAGGAGAAACTGAGGCATAAACAGGGGAGCCATGGCTTTGGGGTGCCAGGCTAATCCATACCAAGACTACAACTCAGAGTGGAGTTCACTCTACCTGTGCCACCCAAAACAGCAAGCCGTCCACAGGTCACATCATTTAATGCGTTTGCAGAGGCTCAGCCTGGTAACAATGCTTCGTTTTAGTCAATCTTACTTTGCTGGCAGAAGCACTGATCCCAACTCGGTGTTCGGGTTTCTTGGGTGGCAATAGGGTGAGCTGCTTTGAAATCCCCAGGGACTGACACAGAAAGGCCACGAAGATGTGTCACACCCCACTGGCTTCGCCTGTGGGCAAGTGAATAACCAACCTGTGAAAGGCATCAGAATAGCCCACGACCTCCCTCACTCATGGGCTGTGGGATTTCCCATGCTCAGACAGGGCACTGGGTTCTTCCGTGTGTCTAGCTGACATCTCTCCTGCTGTGTTACACTACCATTTCCTGAAGGGGATGCAGCCTGGTGTAATTTCCTCCTTCGTGTTGCTCAAACCACCAACGCTTGCCTCTGCCCCCAGAGCTGAGTCAGAGTCACGGGCGATGGGCCCACCGAGGCCACTTTGACAATGGCATTTCCTTTTCTGCGGGTATTTTACGAGCCTCCTTGTGACAGGCGTGTGCTTGGTGAGATGAAAACATTCGGGTTGAAAATTCCATGGGGAAAGTACTTCCCAAAGCCTGCCCTCTGCAGAAATAAAACCCATGCTAAATAGCGCAGTTTATTAACCGGGGAAGCCAGGCTGAGGAAAATGCCCGATAATTAAAAATAATGGCTTCCTTACAAACACGAAATTGTATTAATTTAAAAATAGGTTTCTCTATCTCTGAATTCCTACTGAGCGGGCTGGGAAAGGAATTGTGCTGATCGTGGCAGAGAAAATAATTCAAAATAACTTTTATGTTCTCCAGGAAGACTCAAGGTTAATTTCAATATTGCTAGATGGGTAATCTAATTCGGAGTAAGGGAACATGTGACTAAATTAAAGCCCTTGCACACTCTAAACTGGGGGGACAGCACCCACAAAAGGCCAAGCATGCCTGGCGGGCCCTCCAGGCCTGTCCCGCTTAGAGACAGCATCACGGAATTAAATCGCTTTGATTGGATTGCACAACTGGCCTGCGTTCTTTGGCTCGGGTTTCTGTGAGTTTATTATATTTAGTTATTAGAAGAATTGGACATTTTAGAGAAATTTCACATTTTTAAGTTAACCCCAGCCAGTGATATCAAAATCCCATTCCCAGGAATATGGTGAATTTGGGAGTCAAAAGCCACCTAGAATTGAAAACTCTTGTTTCTCATTCCAGGTGGCACCCCCAGGGCAGCGTCAGAGGCCTCTTAAGTAACAGCAGCAAACCTGAATGGTGGGGGGCAGAGGTTGGACCCCTCCCCTGTGCTCACTGGGTTTTGTTCTTTCTGTAATTCTGACGTCCTGTGCACTCTCGTGTCGTCACAGGGATCTCACCTTCATACACATGCACGCAGGAGATTAGGTCGTGGTTAGAAATGCAGTTTACCTGCCTGTCCCTCCCAGGTACCTGAAGGTGGGTCTTAGGTCTCCCTGCGTGTCATGTGGGCAAGTCGGAGTCCCAAGGGAGTTGTTGGCATCAGCGAGCCCCGAGCCCCGAGCCCCGAGCCCCCAGCCCCCAGCCCCAGCCCCCAGGGAGTCTCGCAGGCGTGCGTGGCCGAGGAGCTGTGCCCTGAGAGCATTCCAGGTGGCTGCAAGTTCCAGGATGATGAGGGCTGTGGGTCCAGCACCCCTGGTCCTCGAGGTGGCACAGCCCAGGGTGGGGGTAGCAAGCTCTGGACTGGGATCCCAGCTCTTTCACTGACCCCTGTGTAACCCTGTGTAACTGAACCTGTCCTTGCCTCGTGTGTAACACGGGGACGAGGCTGGCGCTTGCCTGGAGCATCGACGAGAGGCTTGCGTGGTGCTGAGAGCCACGTGAGTGCCTGGGACACACCATGGTCTTGCTGCTGTCACTAGAGCATCCTTGTGCACAGAGCAGGCCAGCTGGCATGGACAGAATGGGTGGCATGTCACATGGGTCAACGAGGCCCTGGAGGCTTGGGATGTGTGTCAGGAAAAGCAAAGGGAGGGGTCCGGGAATGGAAGGAAGAGAGCAAACATCAGTCATTCCACCTGAGATGTTGTACGAGTCTTGAACTAAATCCTAAACTCACAGTTTTAAGACTCCCAGTGGCCATCTGCATTGTCCCCAGTAAAGCCACCCCATGTGACCAAACTTTGGTTTCCAGAGGATCTGACTGATCTTGTGTCTAGGGTAGACAAAACCCTCGGGCCCAGGGCTGTTGTGTATGGGTGCATATTTTGGGCACCGCACACTTTCTACACCGGGATGGCACCTTTTAGAACGGCTTTTGGCAGCCATGCCTAGCTGAGTCCCCTCCGGCCCTATCCCAGTGCACCACACACACTTCACCTTTCTACATGTACAGGAATAGTACCGGAATTTAGAAAGCAGGACTCAATGACGTCAGGTTAGTTCTTTCCCCACAGCACATCTGCCCTTGGGTCACAGCAGCCGGTCCTCTGTGCAGTAGCCTGGCTCTTTCAAACCGGTCCCATTGTGTTTTCCCAGGTCCATGGGCGAAACCTCTTGTCCATCGACTACGACCGGAACATCAGGACAGAAAAGATCTACGACGACCACCGCAAGTTCACCCTGAGGATCATCTATGACCAGGTGGGCCGCCCCTTCCTGTGGCTCCCCAGCAGCGGGCTGGCCGCCGTCAACGTGTCCTACTTCTTCAATGGGCGCCTGGCCGGGCTTCAGCGTGGGGCCATGAGCGAGAGGACCGACACTGACAAGCAAGGCCGGATCCTGTCCCGGATGTTTGCAGACGGGAAGGTGTGGAGCTATTCCTACCTCGACAAGGTGGGTGTCCATGCCGTCCATCAGCTGGGCCACCTGTCCCTCGGGCTCTGGCTACGCCAGCCTGATGCGCCTTGCCCTGTGGTGTCTCACCATCTTTGCTTTCACTCTGCATCATCCCACCCTCACCACGAGGGAGAAAGCTCTGAAGGGAAATGGTATTCATAGCTCAGCACTATTGGCCTTTAAAGGGGAAAAAGCACTGGACAGTAATGGCGAGAAGGAGGGATTTCTGATTTTAGTCCAAAAAAAAAAAAAAAACGAGGTAATGTTGCTGCAGAAAGAATCACCCCACAGCTACTATTCCTTATAGACTGGGAATGCAGCTGTTCATTCTGCCTTGCCCTAAATTAAGCCGTCAGGGGAGGGGATTTGCCCAAAACTCAAGTACACACAGGGAACCTGCCCCCTTGGCCTGTTGGCTGAAACAGCCAGTGGGTTTGCTCTGCGTGGTTCCCTGCGTTGGACGGTGCCACTTTCAGGGCTCCTTGCTGGAAAATGGTCTGGTGGAGCAGGTAAAGAGATCTCTTTGGGGCACAGGGCAAGACTGCGAAGGCTGCCCACCATTGTCATTAGGCAGGGGGTTGCTTGGCTTGGGCCTCCCTCACCTGGACTCCCCTCATCTGGACCCCCTTACCTGGGCCCCCCTCACCTGGGTCCCTATCAGCTGGATCCCCCTCACCTGGGCCCCTCTCACCTGGTCCCCCTACCTGGACCTCCCTCACCTAGGTCCCCCTCACCTGGACCTCCCTCCCCTGGGTTTCCCTCACCTGGACCTCCCTCCCCTGGGTTCCCCTCACCTGGGCTTCCCTCACCTGGGTTCCCCTCACCTGGGCCCCACTCACCTGGTCCCCCTACCTGGACCTCCCTCACCTGGGCCTCCCTCAGCTGGGTCCCCCTCACCTGGGTTCCCCTCACCTGGGCCTCCCTCACCTGGGCCCCTCTCACCTGGTCCCCCTACCTGGACCTCCCTCAGCTGGGTCCCCCTCACCTGGACCTCCCTCAGCTGGGTCCCCCTCACCTGGGCCTCCCTCACCTGGGCCTCCCTCAGCTGGGTCCCCCTCACCTGGGTTCCCCTCACCTGGGCCTCCCTCACCTGGGCCCCTCTCACCTGGTCCCCCTACCTGGACCTCCCTCAGCTGGGTCCCCCTACCTGGACCTCCCTCACCTGGTCCTCCCTCCCCTGGGTTCCCCTCACCTGGTCCTCCCTCACCTGGGCCCCTCTCACCTGGGCCCCCTACCTGGACCTCCCTCAGCTGGGTCCCCCTCACCTGGGCCCCGCTTACCTGGTCCCCTCCTACCTGGACCTCCCTCAGCTGGGTCCCCTCACCTGGGCCTCCCTCAGCTGGGTCCCCCTACCTGGACCTCCCTCACCTGGTCCTCCCTCCCCTGGGTTCCCCTCACCTGGGCCCCGCTTACCTGGTCCCCCTACCTGGACCTCCCTCAACTGGGTTCCCCTCACCTGGGTCCCTCACCTGGGCCGCCTCAGCAAGGTCCATTTCTTCCTTTCTCCACATTTTATTGCAGTGGTAACTTGTCACCCTCTGCAGGAGAGGGGCTGCTGTCCCCTCTGTCCTCGCTCAGCATGGGTCTCGTTATGCCATAAAGTACTGGAATGTTCGACAGAGGGAGGCAAGACTGTCCATGGCCTAGAGTCAAGGCCATGCTGTTCCAAGCTGGCCCATGATTCCAGGCTATTTCATCTTCCAGTGGCTTCTAAGCAGAGGGAGTGCTTTCTCTCTAGGCTTAATCACCTCTCTCTGCAGGGTTGATGGCAGTAAGTTCTAAACAGTCTCTGTCTTCCTAGGAACAAACTGCCTTGCTGTCACCTCTGTCCCCAGCCCCGTATACTCACAGTATGGTTTGAGCAACATCAGGATCCCGGGAACTTGTTAGGAATGCAGATTTCCAGGCTGCACCCCAGACCTGGGGAGTAAGAGTCTGCCTTGTAAAGACCCCTTGAGAGGCCCACATTAACGTGTGGGGAGGTGTGCTGTGGGCAGCCCCCATGACCCATCAGCACCGGTATACCCAGGGAAAGGCACACACTTCTTCCCCCCTGCATGGTTTGTGAACTGACATTTGGGAAAACAGAGTAAGATCCATCATTTGAGTACCTGGTCCTGAGCCGCCAACTCACTCTCCCCTTCCCTGTCCTCCCCAGTCCATGGTCCTCCTGCTGCAGAGCCAACGTCAGTACATATTCGAGTATGACTCCTCCGACCGTCTTCACGCTGTCACCATGCCCAGTGTCGCCCGGCACAGCATGTCCACACACACCTCCATCGGTTACATCCGTAACATTTACAACCCGCCCGAAAGCAACGCCTCGGTCATCTTTGACTACACCGACGACGGCCGCATCCTCAAGACGTCGTTCTTGGGCACGGGGCGCCAGGTGTTCTACAAGTATGGGAAGCTCTCCAAGTTGTCAGAGATTGTCTACGACAGCACGGCGGTCGCCTTCGGGTACGATGAGACCACAGGCGTGTTGAAGATGGTCAACCTCCAAAGTGGAGGCTTCTCCTGCACCATCCGGTACCGGAAGATCGGCCCCCTCGTGGACAAGCAGATCTACCGGTTCTCAGAGGAGGGCATGATCAACGCCAGGTTTGACTACACCTATCACGACAACAGCTTCCGGATCGCCAGCATCAAGCCCGTCATCAGCGAGACTCCCCTGCCCGTTGACCTGTACCGCTACGATGAGATCTCGGGCAAGGTGGAGCACTTCGGCAAGTTCGGAGTAATTTACTACGACATCAACCAGATCATCACCACGGCCGTGATGACGCTCAGCAAACACTTCGACACCCACGGGCGCATCAAGGAAGTGCAGTATGAGATGTTCAGATCCCTCATGTACTGGATGACGGTGCAGTACGACAGCATGGGCCGGGTGATCAAGAGGGAGCTGAAGCTGGGGCCCTACGCCAACACCACCAAATACACTTATGACTACGACGGGGACGGGCAGCTCCAGAGCGTGGCCGTCAATGACCGTCCGACCTGGCGCTACAGCTATGACCTCAATGGGAACCTCCACCTGCTCAACCCAGGCAACAGCGTCCGCCTCATGCCCTTGCGCTATGACCTCCGGGATCGGATCACCAGACTCGGGGACATGCAGTACAAGGTTGACGATGACGGCTACCTGTGCCAGAGAGGGGCTGACATCTTCGAGTACAACTCCAAGGGCCTCCTGACCAGGGCGTACAACAAGGCCAGTGGATGGAGCGTGCAGTGTCGCTATGACGGCATGGGGCGGCGGGCTTCGTACAAGACCAACCTGGGCCACCATCTGCAGTATTTCTATTCGGACCTCCACAACCCAACCCGCATCACCCATGTCTACAACCACTCCAACTCGGAGATCACCTCGCTCTACTACGACCTCCAGGGCCACCTCTTTGCCATGGAGAGTAGCAGCGGGGATGAGTACTATGTGGCCTCAGATAACACGGGGACGCCTCTGGCTGTGTTCAGTATCAACGGACTCATGATCAAACAGCTGCAGTACACGGCCTATGGGGAGATTTACTATGACTCCAACCCCGACTTCCAGATGGTCATTGGCTTCCACGGAGGGCTCTACGACCCCCTCACCAAGCTGGTCCACTTCACCCAGCGGGATTATGACGTCCTAGCCGGACGATGGACCTCCCCAGACTACACCATGTGGAAGAACGTGGGCAAGGAACCGGCACCCTTTAACCTGTACATGTTCAAAAGCAACAACCCTCTCAGCAATGAGCTGGACTTGAAGAACTACGTGACAGGTGAGGACATCGCTGCCCTGCAGGAGGTGGGGTGGGGGGGACAGCGGCAGTAGCTCCCTTGGGGTGTTTGTCCTGCTAACTATTGGGAGCTTGGAAAGGAGGTCTTGCATTAGAGGGTCAGAGACTCCCCAGGGCAGTGCAGTTGACAGCAGAACAAGGTATGGAAAAGCAAAGGTGCCAAAGAACAGAGTGGTCAGGAGGTCTGTGGAGGGTTTCCTGAGCCCTCTGTGTTCATTACACCGTAATCACTTTTACAAAGGTCCTTCTGCCCCCACAGAGAAGTCAGCTTAAGAAGATGGGAGAGCAAGGGACCCTGGTGTTACAAATCCCTGGTTCAGATTCTCCTTCTCCCATTTAAAAGCCAAACAGCCTTGGGCTGGCTGGTCACTCTCTGAACCGCTTTCCTTGACTGTGAAAGACACTAGAGAGACCATCCCCTAATGTAATCGTGACAAGTGAGCTTGTGCAGGTAAAGCCTAGCACTTAGCATGTGGACGAGACAGGGTCTGCTGTGAGAGTAGCATTGTTACCAGCAAAGCAACGGTGAGCATGGGTACCGAGAGGCCTGAGAACAGCTCTTGCCCTCCAGAGGCCTCCATGGAGCGATGCACGTGCAAATATCCAGCAGCGATGCAAAGAATGGAGTCAGTGCTGCCCAGGCGTCTGCTCCGTTGTTTATTCAAATGCATATATTGAGTGGCGCCATAAGAGATGCTGGGGATATAACTGTGAACAAAGAAAGCAACAGCTTTCTCTCAGGGGTGTGCATCTGTGTGTGCGTGTGCACACATGTGGGTACGGGCTCGTTCAAATTTGAAAGCTTTGGCACAGTCCAGAAGGACCCATGTCAAACTGGACCTAAAGAAGGAACAGGGCCTGGGTGGACTGAGGCTGAAGGAAGACTGTGAGCAAAAGTCCAAAGCACGCAAGACACTGGGAGAGAGGCATGGAGCGAGTGGCCACAGGGGAGCCCGCCAACGCCCCAGAAGGAGTGTTGGTGCAACTGAGCTTCCATCCATTCACCATCTAGCCACTCAGGAAAGATCATGGAGTCCCTACATAAACTGAATACCAGGGACACAGTGGGGATGATGCAAAGTCCATGACCTAGGGGAAATAAGCGAAAAAAATCAGATGGAGCCAAAGAGGCCGGGTCCCAAAGGGCCACCTTACAGCCAGCAAGCCGAGCCATCTCACCTGCCGTGCATTACACAGAGCCCCCAACACCAAGGCCCCCAAGTCCCAGTAAGCTCGCAGCTCTTGGCCTTGGGCCATGAAGTGACAGGACCCATTGCCCATCTCCGAGGCAGGAAAAAAGGTTGCAGCCATCTGGGGCACAGTGGTGACCTCAGTGACTCCAGCTGCAGATGTGGACACCCTCAATGATCAACTTGTGGCCATTTGACATCAGCTGACAAATGTCAGACCTGTGGGAGCCGAAGCCTGCACCCCTCCATGGAGCCCAGAAGCTGTGGCTAAGTTGTTCCTCCTGCCTCATCTCCCCCACACCTCATCAGGAGTTCCTGCTGGGGTGTCCACCTCGCGCCCTCTCTTCCCCACGACTTAGCAGGGCTTGTGTCCCCCCCAACTTATTGCAATTTCAAATTAAAGTGCCTCTCAGGAGGCCAGCCACACACACATATGTAGTCCAAGGTGATGAGTGCTAGGAAGATAAACAGGACAAGGATGAGACGGGGAGAGGTAGGAAGCACCTCCTTCATTGCGGATGCTGACAGGTGGCATTGGTGCAGAAGTGGAGGAGGGAGGGTGAGTGTACCCCAGAGAAAGGAAATGGGGTGAATGGGGAGGCAGACCATCCCGGCCTTAGCCAGGGGGAGACTCCTGCCTCACACCCAGTGTGCTTCCCAGACAGAGCCTCGCTTGGCACTGGACCCCTAGGACAGAATCAGCCAGAGGCAAAAAAAGAGAAGCCCACAGGGTGGGCAGTGCAGACACCTGCCACCACCCAGGCCCCAACAAAATCATCCACAGGGCACAGGAAACCTCCTCCAGACCCTGCTTCCTGGGAAAAAGAAAAATTGAAACGAACAGGGAGTTCTGAATAGCAAGATGGCTCTGCTTATTCCAGGGCTTCACAGAGACTCCATGGAATCAAATCAATTTGAACGAAGTCCAACCAAATTGAATCCAGAAGCCATTAGGAGTGTAAAATAAAGGGTGGTGTCAGAGAAGCAGCAGGCACGGGCTGGCGTGTGCAGTGGAGAGAAGGGAGCCAGGCCAGGCCAGCCCACACCTGCTGCCACCTGTCCCCAGTGAGATGACCCTCAGAGAGTGGATCCGAGCAGAGAATACCAGAACCTTCTCTGCTGTTTGAACGCTGGCTCATCTGTAAACCCCGTCTAAATTAGTCTTAATTTGCCACTTAGGAGACTAGCAGAGTGGTTGAACTTGCTGCTCACAATTTAAGCAGAAGAGGTAATTAAGATGTAGTCGGGAGGAACACAGAGAAAAGTCCTTCTCTCTCTCCAGTACCCAGAGCGTCCTGGCTGTTTGGAAACAGTCCTCGGAATGCAAGTGGCAGATCCTGACTTGAAGGAGGTTTTGTGTCCTCCAAAGCACACTAGTGCGGAGGAGAGAGGCACAGAAGACCAATGCGGTCAGCACTCCATGACACCTGCACTGAAACCCAGTGTGGCCACCAGTGGCAGAGGACAAGAGGTTGTCGCCAGCCCCCTCCCCGGCTCCACAGCAGCCCCCTGTGTAACAGTTATTTCTAACAGGACAGTAATGTGCAAAGATATCAAAGGCAAGAGTGTGAAGGAAAGACTGGAACCAGGCTGCCTCCCTGCGCCTGCAGTGGGAGCATCCAGGAAACTCCTTGTCTTGGACACAGTGGACCCCTGCGCTGTCCTCCGCCACTTCCCTTTGATGTGACAACCTGAGCACCTCATTTGGTTTTTTGGTAGGGAGAGCAGTACTGGGATTTGAACTCAGAGCTTTGCACTTGCTAGGCGGTCATGCTAGCACTTCAGCCACACCACCAGTCCTTTTTTGCTTTGGTTATTTTGGAGATAGTGTCTCGATGTTTGCCCAGGTCACACTCCTCCTATTTACGCTTCCCACCATGGCTGGATGATGTAAGCCTGTGTCATCTTGCCCAGGTTTTTTTCTGTTCAGATGGGGTCTTGCAAGCTTTTGTGTCCAGGCTCATCTGAAACCACGGTCCTCCCAGTATCAGCCTCCAGGTAGCTAGGATTACAGGCGTGAGCCACCGCACATGGTCCCAAACACCTCTTGTGACACCGTTCCTCCCCGCCATCACTTGCTGTATGACTCAGGTGTAGATTTTAACCTTTCTGAGTCTTAGCTTCTTAATCTATAAAAAAAAATTGGTAATGATGGCACTACCTTGTGAGGTGGTGAAAAATAAGTCAGCCTATCATGAATAAGAGTGAGCCATGCACTTATCATGGAGGTGCTGCCGTGAGTGGGGGCATAGAGAGGTGAGTAGAGAGCAAAGACAACACCTTCATTCTGGGGACACGGGGAGGGGCTCCAGGCGCACCTCAAAATAGATTCAACCTGCTCTGATGGAGTTTCTAGCAAACCAGCAAACCTAGATAAAATTCGAGCAATACACAGAATTGTACTCTTCCTATCATGGCTCCCAGGGGGTCTCTGAACGCACAGACCCCAGGCACACCTTAGCTGAAGGCGGATTTTGTAAAGCTTCGTTTGTCTAAGGGAGGTGAAGGCAAAAGCCCTTCTCACCTTATCCTCTCCCACTTGCACTGAGCACCTGAGCCTCTGTGTGGACAGAGGTGTGGAGGGTAGCAAGGGTGCTGCCCCATGCCAAGGGAAAACAGAAGCTCTGAGGAGGAGCCACCCAGCTCCTGCCTCTCAACAGCTGTTTAGGGAGCCTGTCACCAGGTCACACTGCCACTCCAGTGGGAGGAGGGCTGTGCTGTTCCAGAAGGTGCTCTGCAGGATGAAGGATGCATGGCTTGAATAGCTGTTTCAGAACAGGTTTATTTGCAGAGGCAAAGCCATGTTAGAAACTTTAGAAGAAAAGGAAGAGGGAGGAGGGAGAGGACAAGAGGGAGGAAGAGGAGACTAGGAACGAGAGGAAAGGAAGAGGAAGAAGAGAAGAAGGAACAGGAGGAGGAGGAAGAAGAAAAGGAGAAAGAAGGGGAAGAGGAACAGGAGGAAGGGAGAAGAGGGGAAGGAGGAAGAATGTACAGAGGAAGAAGAGGAAGAGGAGCAGGCAGAAGGGAAGAAGAAAAGGAGAAAGAGGAGGAAGAAGAGAACAAGATGGTGAGGAGGAGAAAAGGCAGAGGACTTTAGCTATTACCACCCATGAGTGTGGTCAGTAAAATTCCTGGTCTCAAAGGCAGGGCATTCTTGATATTCTGTGTCCTCCTCACCAGGGAGGTGAGGAGCTAGAAAGGGAGGAAAAGGAAGATGGAGGGAGGGGCTTCTGGGGACAAGGACTTCTGCTCTTCCTGGAATTCCCCTCACACCCTACCTGTGCCTGGTGAAAGCCAGAGGATTTTGCATGGTGTACAAAGACACACCTTCTCTATGCTCTGACTTCTTCCAGTCTGGAGGAAGAGACAGCCTCTGAGTGTGCTGGTGTGTACCGAACACCTCCTTGACACTCCTACAGAGAGAGCAGGTCTCAGACTTCACAACACGGGCCAAAATGGCGCTGTCTGCGAACTCCTGTCTTTCTTTTCATTTTACTGTTATTTTCTGTTTGTAACAAGTGAGTCAGGCTTCACATTTGTGGGAGCGATAGAGTTCCTGTCTTGGTTGCTCATTTATAGCATTTACTTATTTACTTGGAGACAGGCTCTTGCTATATAACCCAGGCTGGCCTGGAACTCAAGATCCTCCTGCCTCAGCCTCCTGAGTGCTGGGATTACAAGTATGTACCACTATGCTCGACTAGCTTTTTAAATTTTTCCTAAGTGCCAAAAAGCAGTTTTATTTGTTTTAAAACGAAGGAGTAAGTAATAGTACAGGTGATACCAGATATG